CCTCCGCATAAGTTTTACTTCCTTGTGTTCACTCCACAAAAAGGCAGCAAACCCAGACTAACCCGCTTCTGCTTTGTTTTTGTCTGTTTTAATCACCACGCCAGAACCAATGGACCGTTCCTCCTCGCCCCCCCCCCCCTTCCCCCCACGGGGAGCAGCAGCCTCCACCTTACTCCGCTGCCCCCCCGACGTGCCCCCTGTCCACCGGTGGGGCGGCCCACTCCCACCAGGCCAGCACTGGATACCAGTCTTTCCACGACATCCTCCCACAGGAGGCCTCAGAAACCACGCCGATCATTTCCTCCTCGTCCTTCGATGACAAATCAGTGAGGAGGGGGTTCGTCAGAAAGGTTTGTGCGCCCCCATTTCTGTCACCTAACTTCAGGAAAAGAGCGTGAACGATAGAAGACTTTGGTCAGGTTAGTTTAAGTTTAGTTTCGATTGAATCCTTTAGATGTTAGAAGTTTTGGTACAAAACAGGATATGGCCTTTCTTTTGTCCTCTAGTTGCTATAGTGTTACATTTTTCCTTTTTTTACATGTTTTCCATTTAGGTTCTTTCCCTTTGGGAGCTGTCCAAACCTCACACCTGAGGTTTGGAGGTTTGTTTTCACTTTTCCGATACTTGAACTTGAACTTGGGATGTTTTAGCCAGAACTGTCTCTTCTCATGCAGGTGTTTGGCCTCCTGACCCTCCAGCTGCTCTTCACCTTCGGCATGGTGTGCGTGTTCACCTTCTCCAGCGTGGTCAAACAGGCCGTGCAGACCAGCCTCTGGGCTTACCTCAGCTCCTTCATCGTCTTCGCCGTGGTGGCCTTCTCCCTCAGCTGCTGCCCGTCCTTCAGCCGCCGTCACCCCTGGAACATCGTAGGCCTGGTGGGTCACACACAGGAGCTTTAGTTAAAGATAAACTGAGTTTACCGTGAGTCGAGTGGACAAACTGCTGCCTGGGATCTTCTCCTTTGTGTAATAACACAATAACACAAAGTAATCAAATGCCACGGTTACGTGTTTCCTGAACATTTAGAAGAGTTCAGAGATGCCTGATTTAGTTTTTAAAAGAAAAAAACCTGCTTAGCTGGCTGTTTGAGGTTTTTTCCTCCGTGATCTCAGGCTGTCGTCACCCTGAGTTTGTCCTACATGGTGGGGGCCGTCGCCTCCTTTCACGACACCACGGCCGTGGTCATCACCATGGCGGTGACGCTGGTCATTTCTGTGGCCATCATCGCCTTCTCCGCACAGGTATAATCCTCGTTGGTTTGATAATAATATCAAATTGGTGGAGTATTTTGTACCCCCATTTAAAAATGGGTTGTCCCTTTTTCATCAATAAACACAGAAAAAAAGGAAAAGAATAAAGTTATTAGAAGAAAGATGGAAATAGACTAAAAATATATATAAAGATAGATAGATAGATAGATAGATAGATAGATAGATAGATAGATAGATAGATAAAGTATGATGAGGGTGTGCTTAATTTAATTTAGTTTGAACTCTGAAGTGAGATCTCATGTTTTTGTGTCCAGACTCGTTATGATTTCACCATTTTTTACGGCGTCCTGTTGATCCTGGCTGTGGACTTCGTCATGTTCGGGTTCTTCTGCACCTTCTACTACTCCCACGTCAGCGCCATCGCCTACGGGTGTCTGGGCGCTCTGCTCTATTCTCTGGTAAGTCACACAGACTTTCACATATGCAGCCAAGCGGTCGAATCCCGGGCGCCGTTTTTCTGTCACTGCCCGAGAGGTCATTAAGAGTCGATTTCACCAGAGAGAAAGCAGAAGCATCCCCTGCCTGTTCTTAATCTCCCTCCCTGATTCAGTTCCTGATGGTGGACTGTCAGCTGATGATGGGCCTCATGAGCCACCGCCTGGATCCAGAGGAATACATCAGCGCTGCTCTGCGCATCTACCTGGACATAGTGCTCATCTTCCTCTACCTGCTGGGGAGGAGGTGAACCTGCACATGTCCTTTTTTCGAACGTACAAACTAACTCTAAACTAATTTCCCCCCATCCACCAATAAGTTTGATATTTCCAGAAGAAAAAGCCAAAGTGGAATAAAAGTTGCTAAATACAGTTTTTATTGATACAGTGACAAAGAAACGGGAACTACATGTAGTGCAAAATTCTCTGCTGATCGTCATTTTATCCCCTGTAAACGTGAATGTGACACCAATACACAGGAGAAACACATAAATCCATTACAGAGATACCAGAGGACTTCAGAAACCCAACAACAGGTCATTTCAAGCTTTATCTTCTTCTTCCATGAACCCTTCCACCTTCATAACCAGCAGAATCTGGACATTAGTCAGGATCCAGTTATTGACTGCTGTCATTACCGACGGCCATCAGACAGAAACAGGCAGCAGCTTTTAAAGTGTCCGTCGAGAGTCAGTCAAAGTAAAATGGGTCTGAGCAGGTCCCATTCTGAAGAGCTTTTTCACTTTAGCAGCCGTTACTCAGGTCAGCCCTCACTACAGGAGGTATTTTCAGAAATTCACCAATTCATCTTGTACAGAAGGCATTTAAAATACTCGTTCAGAAAAAGGCAGCTTTAACAAACGTAGCTGGAGCATCAGCTCTGAGTGAGGAGAGCAGCGTGTTCAGCTCACCCCAGAATCCAGATCACCGAGCGGCTGGCCACCCCGGAGGGGACCCCCGGACCCCCCCCCCGCGCTGCTCACCACAGCGAGGAGAAGTTGAACCTGATCCTCAGCAGGTAGCGCATGCGGACCTGAGCCGGATTGTAAACGATGAACTCGTTGTAGAGGAGCGAGTAAGCGCCGGCTTTTCCGATTCCGGTTTTCACCCCGGGCCCCATCGGCACCACCGCACCGTCCCTGGGGAGGAGAGTCACAGACACATGTTTTACACCCCCTCTTGCTTTACCAAAAAACACTCATTTTTGTGATTTCAATTATCTGTAAATGCCTCCCTTACTTCATCAGTTCCATAAAATAAAAGAAAAGAAAACTGTGATAAAGAACAGCTGAACAGATTGTTTTTGTCGTGTATTCTCTGACCATCAGCCAAAAGCAAAGCGCTTTACCTCCTTTGCCTCAGCGACGAAGAGGCTTCATCAACTACAAATGACCACCTTTGATTCTGCGTTTTGCCTAAAAAACAGTCAAACGTGTCCCTCACCGAGCCATTAAGCCATCCACACCATCAGGTCTTATTAGTGGTCTTTTTCTTTTTTTTTAACTGCTCATTTACACACTCATGAGCTCAGAGACATTTCCTGCAAAGTTATTTGCAACCTAGTTTTGAATCAAATTCTAAGAGTAATGCAATTAAACTATCAGATTATTGTGGCGGCTCAGGCTTTCTTTTCAAAGGGAGCTGCTGCCCGTTGTGTAACCGCAAGCATGATGTCATGATTTCAATCTGCAGAGGAGACGAGGCGCCGCGGGACAAACAGCAGAACAAATAAGGGCAGAGCGAGGTCGGCCCATCAGAGACGCTGAGTCACTGCACGCCAAACGTTTATCTGAGGGCCGTGAACCCCCGTCAGGGCGGTTAGTGGGGGGTGTTGGTCACTCTGCATTAAACCAGAACACAGAGAGGGGAAGATGCCCCTCTTCTGGACCCCTCACAGCAGCCGGTGGCCGGATATTTAATCCCTAACAGGAACTGATGAACTTCAGCGTCAGACGGCGTAAAGATTTTTGTTGCGCAACCGTCAGACGCGCCTGAAGCGATATTTGACCCGAATGAAATCTGTAAAAGTCATAAGAGCCACTGACAGCGTGACGGAGTTCCTGGGGTCGGGTCCGCTCTGCCCCAGGCCCTTGGTGCTGTGTTTCCCGGCGGGCAGCCTTGCGGCCTCGTAGTCGGCGTCCAGCAGCTCGTTGCAGTCTCCCAGGGCGACCTGCAGACAAACGGCGCCGCGTCACACCCGCCGTCTGCACATCGGGGGGCCTCGGGGCGCCCCCTACTGGCCGGCTTCGGGCCTGGCGGAGCTCAGAGTCCAGACTCACCTCGCACAGCAGCAGCAGTCCCACGCTGCTGCTCTGCGTGGCAAAGCAGTAGTTGGCGCTTTTTGATGACATGTCAGCAAAGTAGATGCCTTTTCCGAACTGGCCGAGGAGAAGAAGGACAGGGAGGGCGGTCACGTTTCAGAGGAAAGGGTGGAAAAGTCGAGAGGCAAAGCAGAGCAAGGTTAAAAAAGGTAAAAAAATGAATATATAAATTCCCATTCCACAACACAAACAGTCAGAAAATGCGCGTGTACCATGTAACCCGTGGAAGGAGCCTCAGGAGGGGCCACTCTGAGGCCTTTGCTGAGGATGCCCACCCAGTTGGAGAGACGGGAGCCGTGCCACAGCAGAGTCCTGACCGAAGCACAAAGGGAGGATGGAATAAACGGCAGCGGGGCTGAGAGTCGGCATCCCAGACGTTGCAAACCAGAGCAGAGCAGGGTTACTTACCTGTTCTGTAGGTCTGAGAGGAAGCTGCTGCTCTCCCCGTCTCGGTCCACCGAGAAGATGTCCAGCACGGCCATGGTGTAGTCGCGGTGAGTGGGAGCGTGAGTGGACTGCAGATACTTCTCTATCACCTTCACACAGAGAGGAGACGCGATGAGAGGCTGAATACATGACCAATGTAGCCGTAGTTACGGCTAATTTAGAGGGGAAAACAGGAATAGGTGCAGGAATTAAAGAGAAACGATAAACCAGCAGGAGGAATTCAGAGGTAATCATTCTACCCCCTGACTCACAAGTCTGTATGAGATCTGTCCGTCTGATTCAGGAGTTCTCATTCAAAACACCACAAAAGTCCAAAAATCTGAATGAGACTGACCTGATATTCATTACTGCTGGAATCAAGGGGCTGGAGTTTGCACTGGAGGGAGCGGTATTGTCTGTCCAGAGGATGTTCATCCCCACCTGCACTGGACTGGACCATTTTCACTGCGATCCGGATGTCACTTAAAGCCTTAAAGAGAAAACAGTGTCACAAAACACCAGGCTTAAAGGTTCCTGCTTAAAACCCTCCTGTTAATAAACAGAGAAAAGGTTTGTGGTCTCCTGTTGAGTGTTCATGACAGCAGTTTACCTCCAGCAAAGTGATTTTTTCCTTCAGCTCATCCTCCGTGCGGATGATGGGGGGAGTTTTCAACCTGGAAAATTACGCCTTTTAGTCACATTGAGGTAAGCACTATCAGAAAGAGACGCTCAGCCGAATGCTTCCTACCCGAAGTCGTGTGGGATGCGGGTGTAGAACTGGTTGCACGCTTCCAGCAGCTGCTTATTGCTGCCCTTCGTCTTCAAGCATTCCTCGATGGTCTTCAGAGCTTCGTAGCCCGCTCGGATCTGCTCTGAGGTCAGCTTTCCTGAAGGGGAAATTTAAAAAAAGGTATCAGGAGCGCGAATGGCCCTCGGCCGTGGCTTCGCTTTGGTGGGAAAGCCCCACGAACCCAGAGGAGCTTTGCGGGTGTCAAACTTCATCTCCAGCACACACTCCTCCATGGCCTTCAGGTCGCAGATGAGCTGCAGCAGAGACTGGACCTTTACGTCCAGCTTTGAGGTGTGCTTTGGGGTTGCTGCATCCACTGTGGTCTGGTTCTCCTCCTGGAGGGGAGGAAAAACACACTGAGGCGTCCCGCCATCACGAAGCCCCTGGGGAGACCGGCTATCAAAGGCACCTTTTCGTTGGCGCTGTAATCCACGAACACCATGTCGTACTTTCCAGCCACTTTCTTAAAACTGTCTCGGCGGTCCCACTCGTTCAGTGTCTTGTTCCAAAACCTGCAGCAAAGGCCTCAGAGTGTCAGTCAAAGGCCTCCACAGAGGGGCCTCCGCTCAGTGGGGGGGCAGGGTCTCACTTTTGTGTGAAGAAATCCTGGGCCTTCAGCAGGTCCCCTCCAAAGGCTGTCAGGCTGCTTTGGCCCACTTTGCCCACTGTGGAAATATCAGACGCATCGCTGAGAACATTTCCGGCTGATCAAACCAGTACAAAATGGATAATGGGTGGGCGGTGAGGTCACCTCGGCCCCATCTCAGCCACACGCTGTAAGCCTTGGAGCTGTCGTCCTCCAACAGCTGGATCAGGTAGTATTTGTTGTTGTTGAACTGAAGGTTTGTCTGCAGAGTAAAAGTTACAAAGTGTCTCTTTTAAGCTAAAAAAACATTCATATTCAAACTAAAATAAAGCTTATCAAAGCCTAAAATGTGTCTTCAGTCCTCTCAGAGTAAACAGCATGAAGACAAAAAATCTCCAGACTGTATTCTAAAGTGGAATAGAAATGGATTTAATCAGTGCTTAAACTCATGCATGGCTCTATTAATTAAAAAATAGAAAAGACATTTCCAAGCTGTTGGTTTTACCTGGTTCAGCATCACATCATAGACATCTTTTCCTTCACAGTAGACATGAGCCTGAAAGAGAAACCAAAAGTTGTGTTGTATGACCACCGTCATTTAAAAACGTGCTGTTCATCGAACCTTTTAGGCCATCTCAAACATCTTTAGGATTGAAACCCTGACAAAACACCCTTTTCCTTCATATTAGAAACATTTAGTATGTATGAAAAGAGGTCAAAGAAAAGCAGGTATATTTTCTCTCCTAGTTGTTTGCCATTGGTTTGTGCTGAAAAATATGAAGTCACATTCAGACTTGAATCAACATACTTTCACCTTCTGTCTCTGAATAAGAAAGGATGGCTGTTAGTTGGTGCTCTACTCAAACCTTGAAACCACAATCACGACTACACAGCAGTTTTATGCACCTTTCCTAGTTTGGCTTTGCATTCAGGGTCCACCGGAGCTTTGCCCTTCATCACCACTGTCCTCACAACCTCTGCAAAGCAAAGACAGATCAGAAATATCAGCAACACCACCAGAGACAGAAACTCCTGTTTGGAATGTGGTTCAAAGGAAAGTGTTCCAAAGTTACCTTCACTTTTTACGTCTCCTTTGGGCGTTTCTTCTGTTTTCCTCTGTGTCTGGCTTCGCCCTCTTCTCCTCTTGGCTGCTGGCGGCTCTTTTGTCTCCCCCTCGTCTTCCTCTTTGACTGGAACTGACGTTTGTTCTGGTGCAGCCTGGTCATCAGCTCCATTTAAACTCTCTGCACACAACAGGAGAGCAGAAGAGTGACAGAGAAAATAAGTACTGTTTATTTATACAAGCAGCAGAAAACCCGACAAGAATTTTGCCTAATTTAAAAATTAAGGACATCAAATTGGGTAAGAAATCCCACAAGAATCACAGCTAATAAGAGTAAAATGGAGTTATTAAAATTTTATTATCAGACAAAGACAGACTGACACTGTTGGGACAAAAGTAACACTCCATTTTTTTTTCATCTGGCCACTATTAGGTTTTGTTTTGGGACACAGCATTTCCTCCTTGATATCAAGCACATTCTCAGTGGGGTTTAGTTCTCTCAGGACATTTTATGTTTAACCATCGTTCAGGCTGTAATGCCAGTACTTTAATTAATTTTCCAGTGGCCTACTGATTTCCTCAGTTAAAACTGAGGTTGTGACTTCTTGTTGCCTCGGCCGAGTACAAAGGAAAACTCAGTACACACCTAGTTTTACAATCTGAGAGCGGATCTTCCTCTTGTACTTCGTCTGTGGATTAATCTGGACCATCTTCTTCAGGTCTACTTCATACACGATCCCTGGGCCCAGAGTCAGACGGACAGATGTCTGCCCAGAGGAGACGGCGGAGTCCAGCTGGGCACAGGCTGAGGGGGAGTACGGCTCCCACTGGCCTTCATCTCCTTTCCACTGCCACACTGAGCACAAACAGACGCAGCGAGGATGCTTAGAACTTATTATGTCACCCATTACTGTGGGAGCAATCCATAGATTTAACAACAAATACCTAAAACAGATTAATCACAATGCTTTTTTCCAGACATGTTATGCTTATACACAACACAGATTAACAAACAAACAAAATAAGACATCTTAAATAGTTCAATTTTAATAAATTTGGTTTGTTTGGCTTGATTGACTTTGTAACCTAATAGGTTTGTGTAGTTTTTCAGAGTTTTGCTCTTTTCAGGCTTAAAATTGGAAGCTTTCTGAAATCCTAGTAATCTCTGACATTTTGATCATTTCAGTAATAAATAAACAAATGATTTCTTAGAAGCTGGTCAAATTAACTAATGAACACAGCACAGAAAAAATGCACATATCATAATATATTATCATAACAATCACAATATATGAGTATATGTTATAATAAACAGAATTTGGCAGAAACTAAATCTAATAATTCAACAGGCCCACAGGTAGTCCTGCTGAATTGTTCTCGGGTGTCGTGCAAACCTTAACTTGTGAATAAAATGATGTCCGGACATGTCTGCTAACCGTTGTTACCATGTCCGGCAAAAAGGAGCACCAACCTGTTTTCGTGGGACCTTCTTCGTTTTCAGCGGTGCTCTGAATTTTATTTCTTGAGCTTCTGGTTCTCCTCATTTTTGCCTACAAAAATATTTAGCTACCAACTGAGTCAGAGGGACAAAAGTGACAACAAAAACACGGCGGGAAAGTTTATTTCCTGCTTTTTTCATTTCCAGGTCTGTGTCCACTAAAGATCGTATAACATGAAGATGATTCATCCCAGTGTTTAAAGAGACATTATTTTCATCACAGCCGTCTTGACAAAAACTAAGAGTTCCAACAGTTAATGTTAACTATAACACGGTCACGTGTAATGGCTAACAAAATTGTACAGCGTGATTGAAAGAGGCAAACTATATGTTTAAACTTCATTTAAATAAAAAGGACAGAGTGAACACTCTGTTTCAATGTGACGGAACGAAACTTGTCAGATATTTTGTTCCGCTTTAGCTACTGGACGGAATTATTTTTATGAAGGGATGCCTGCGCTTAGCGTGTTGCGTCAAGTTGTGGATGAAAGAAATTAGTTTTAACTCACTTAAACCCAGATTAGATGGTGTTGACATGGCGTCAAGGAGCTACAGAGCCCGTGTTCTCTGCCAGCGGGTGGCTGGGGTGAAGATGATGTTCAGGGTGCGTACAGTTTGTGGGTGTTATTGAACGCAGCATCTCCACTGTGGAGGTCACATAGTCAGTGATTCTTTATAAATAACAGTCTGTTCTACTTTCTGACTTGTAGCTTTATCACTTTTTGCTGATCATTTCTCAATTGAATGACTTATAAATTCTGTCACAGTGTACCTTTTTATTATCACTCATTTTTATTCCGAATATAATTGTAGTTTTTATTTTTGACTCCTCGTATTGTTAAATTATTTATGCATTTATAATTAATGTATTATTACTAATCTTCCCTGTTCTTCAGTATGTTCTTGATATCCAACTGCCTCGCCTGTCAATCTGTTTGTTTTCAGGGTTATAAAGTGTTGTAACTATGTTTTAACCTTTTGGCAATAAAGACATATAATAAGCAGTAGGCCAAAGATCTTTTAAACATTAGTTTTTTTTTAATGTCCACCTTCAATTTGCCTTATACTTAGTTTTTTATGCTTTTTTTCAGTGGTTATCATTATTAAAACTTGGCTCATTTAAATATCATTTTAGGGCATGAGTGTCATGGCTCACCCACGTCCCCAGACAGACTTCCTGAAAGGAGAATTGCACAGGAAGCACCCGGGTGTGACAAACCTGAAGACTCTGCGGCTACCGGATGAACTCCAGATAGCCGCACAGTCCATCATCTACAGTAAGCTCTCTTATCCTCAACAGAACGTCTGATTTCTCTGATGTGGAATCTCACGAACGACCCTCTCGTCCGTTTCTCTGCCTGCAGGAGCGCAGGTGCCTCAGCTTCCCGAGCGCGTTCGCAAGCTCACGAACTTCCTGTGGAGCCGCAAGCGAGCAGTGGAGGATGTGGCACTGAGACAGAGGGCAGTGAGCCTGGAGAAGGAGCTGTGGGAGAAAGCCATGCAGAAGAGAGCAGGTGGGTGACGGACTGCTCCGGTGACACCGACAGGAGACAATGGTGCAGAAACTGGAGAAAAAAGAAACGGGATTCCTTTTGCAGATATGGATGAGCAGCTGCTGGAGGACCGCATCAGGAAGAGGGTTTTCTCAGAACTCAAGAAAACAACGTATCACTGGACTCGATTGAAGTAGCACATTTATTCATCCTACATTTGGCTCTTTTTTACATTAGATTATTACCATTTTAAACGAGGGATATCTTATGCACCAAATAAGCTTAAATGTGAAACTCTCTGCCAGTTGGTTTGTGGGGTGTCGCAGGTGTAGCTCACCTGTCTGCATTTCAGGTTCGACGAAGAATTGGGGGTTGTGTACATGGCAGCTCGGCTTGCTGGAGGCTATGCAGCCGTGAGGAGAGCCCTCAATGAGGTGATGAGTGATGGGGGTGGGGGGTCTGACCCCCGAACGTCTGCTTTCATCTGTCCTAAACCCATATTTAATTTATTTTGCTTTCAGATAAAGAAGAGGGATCCCTCATTTGCTCCCCAATCACTCCTGGATTTTGGCTCAGGACTCGGAACAGTTGCCTGGTCAGTTTGCAGATAAACACATCATCCGTTAATGTGATCTGAGCCAGTAGTTGAGCTGGACTTTCTGTGAAACAGGGCGTCCCACTCATGCTGGGGCCACTCGTTGAAGGAGTTGGTGTGTGTGGACAGCTCTGGACCGATGAACATTTTAGCAGAACGACTCCTCCGAGGTGCACTCAGCCTGTTGTGTTCTTCTTTTTTTTTTTTCCTTCAAATGTAAAAGATACGGGATTTGATGAGAAAGTGACGGTTTGTGTGGACTCTGTTTCACAGGCGACGACGAGAGAGCCGAACCTCACATCAAGCAGGTTTATTTCAGACAGTTTCTGCCCGTCTCTCCAAAGGTTGGACCCTCATTTTTTGTTTTTTATCAAAGAAAAACTTCAAAATAATTTGAATTATTATTTAAAAATAAAGAAGTAAATATATGTAAAAAGTCAAATCTTTACAAAGTAAAATCCTTTGCTGTAGCTCCTCCATGTTCATCCTGTGTGAAGTGTGTCTTTTAAAATGTCTGCTTTGTTAAATCAAGATTTTAAAAAAAAAACCCTGAGCCCCAGTTTGTTCCCTCAGGTGCAGTTTGATCTGGTGGTCGCAGCTTTCACGCTGTCGGAGCTTCCCAACACCAAAGAACGAGAAGAGGCAGTGATCACTCTGTGGAGAAAGACGAGCTCTTACCTGGTCAGTCCAAACCATCCTCTGAACACAGAAACAACATCTGTTAAAAATATCATGGTAGCATTTACCTCAAGCTTTACACTGGTGTTTAATAATGTATTCAAATTTTTGTTCTTGAGATTTTGGTGGAAAACGGCACCAAGGAGGGTCATCAAATGCTGATGGAGGCCAGAGACACCGTACTCATGGTACCAGAGTTTAGCCGATAAGAATAACTGCCAAAATAGAGGTGATGTTGTATAAAAATTTATCAAATTAAAATGGCTCCTCCTCCAGAAACCAGAGAAAACCGCCCACGACCCCAGACCAGCATCGGTTTTTGCTCCGGTAGGTTGAGCGTCTCAAAGCGAGTCGCGTCTCCGTGTTGTTGCTGCTCCTCATTTCTGCTTGATTTTTTTTCCAGTGCGCTCACGAGGCGATGTGTCCCAAACTGGCTCAGGAGTCCGTCACACCCTGCAACTTCCACCAGATGTACTTTCCCCTTCCGGGGCCCGGGGTAGGACGCCGTTCTACGGACTGAGGGGAAAAGCCGGTCTGTCTGCTCCTCCCTCCGGCCGCAGATGTCATGTTTCTGCCTCCTTTCAGCACAAAGACCGTCAGACGGAGAAGTTCAGCTTCCTGATCCTGAGCCGGACGGCCCCGGCGGGGGTGGAGGCGGAGGGCGTGGCGTGGGGCCGGCTGATCGCGCCGGTGCTGCGCAGGGCGCGGCACGTCCACTGCAGGATGTGCTGCCCCGACGGACAGCTGCAGCACGTGGTGGTCACCGCAAAGAAACACAGCAGGTAGTCCTAAAATAAGAGCTCTATACCGTACCCGAGCCTTACTGACAACACAGTAACCCATAGTTCTGTCATAGATTTATCAGGCAAAGCCAGGTCTGTCTACTTTCTCTTTTTCCCCCACTTTCTGTTTTGTTTTGGGCCCAAAAAACTAAAGATTTCCAGTCAGTGCTGCTTTTAAATGGCATCCTGACCAGATGGTGCAAACATGAATGAGTATTTTTCCTAAATATTTGGGTTTGTCAGGTTCTTTTATTATTTTTTCTTGTTACCAGGGAATATTTCTCCATTAATTGTAGTTCAAGCCTATTTGAAACCAAAGGAGGTCAAAGACTACACTCACATATCTGTTAGGAATACCAGAAGAAAAGACAGCTAATATTATTTTCTGGTTATTAAGGCAAATGAAGTGAGATTTCACAGATTCTGAACACCTAAACTCCATTTTTTTTTTAAATTACTCAAAAGATATGTAACAGAAACTTGGATCTTTGTGATCAGAGTTGGTCGGAGCCACATGTTGGTGCTCCTCTTTAATCCGGATCCTTTAACTCTCTCGTCACTTGAAGCTTCTGGATTTGCCTTTGACCTGTTTCTTCCCCTTTAGGGACGTGTACCGCTGTGCCCGGAATAGCGACTGGGGCGATCGACTGCCGATCCTTGAAAAGGCCACGGAGGACGTCCACACAGAGTGAAGCTGGGAGCAGACAGTCTTTGGACTTTTGAACTGATGGAGATAAAACCTCCCGCTGCAGACAGCTGCTGATGGTTGTAACGCTGCTCGTCTTTTTTCTTTACTGCCTCTAATAAACCTTTGAATATCCTCCTTTTTAAACTAACACGGGAACCTTAAAGAGTGTCATATTTATGTTTCCTCCTGTGTATGTTTTGTTACTCTGAATCAGAGCTGTTCAGCCTCATCAATCCACTAACAACACATTTTTATGATCTATTCATAATTTTCATCTGTTAAGAAAATTAGTTGGTTAAAAAAAAAAAAATCACAGAAACTAATAATTACTGCTTATTTTTCTCCTTAGATGTATTTTAATGTAAAGCGCACAAAACACAATTCCTCTGCTGTTTTCTGTGATTTGAAAACACCAACAAACCTCAGATCTGATGGATACTTCTTACCCATAAAGAGCCCATGTATGCACATCTAAAATCATGTTATACAGTGATTAGAAACACAAAGTGACAGGGATTCGTTCGTTCATTAGCTTGCAACGATCTGCTTCAAAGCTGAGGCCAGGTCTGGGTATCTGTACTGAAACCCAGACTCTAAAGTCCGCTTTGGAACGACTCTCTGGCCCTGAGTGAGCACAATGGCCCTCTCGGAGCCCATCAGGGTGTTCATGACAAATGCAGGCACGGGAAAAATGGTGGGCCGCCTCAGGACCCGGCCCAGTTCTTTGGTGAACTCGTAGTTCGTGTTCAGTGCGGGCGCCACCCCGTTGTAGACCTGCGGTGAGGCCGAGGGGGGGTCAGCGGGGGGCTCCAGAGACTGGGCGATGATTCCTGCCAGGTCTGAGACGTGGATCCAGGGGAAGGGCTGACTCCCAGAGCCCAGGGTGCCGCCGAGGCCCAGCCAGAAGGGAAGAAGCATCTGTTTCATGGCTCCACCATCACGACCCAACACTGCCCCTGGTGGCCAGACGGAGAAGTAAAGAACACATCAAACGTCTTTCTGGGGGTATAGCTGAACCCCCAAAGGGGTGAAAAGAAGTCTGGACAAAACTATAGCCCACCTGAATCAGCTATAAGCATATATATGCAAAAACAAAAATGTTATCCAATGTGTGATAACACTTTTGTGACTGAATTGGATCAATCATGGGATCATAGCATTTAAATCTGAATCAGTAAGATTCTCTGTGCACATACCGGGCCGAATGACGACTTGCTTGGTGGTTTTTGTCAAGTTTTCTGGAAGAAGTGCCGCGGCTTCCCACTCTTTGACGAGCTTCGAGAGCAGGTCGAACGGCGTCCACTCGCTGTCTTCCGTGTACTCAGCGGTCAGGCTGGGCTTGTAGCAAGCTGCGGGTAAAGCAGGGACACGGACCATTAAAGAGTCAGTCTATTAAAAACGTTGGTTTTAACTGGCATGCTCAGCATGGAGCTACACACACCTACACCCGATACCAGCACCCAGGAGTGAGGTGGGCTGGGGGAGGCGGCGATGGCCCGAGACAGAGCTTTTGTAGTGTCAACGCGACTGGAGAACAAGTCCTTTTTATAGCTCTCATTCCACCTTAAAAAAAAGAACAATGGAGAATAACTCAAATGCTTCTCATTAAGGAATACTGAGTGGTTTGAGAGATTCAGTGTTTTGAATGCATTTGTTGTCTCAGCATCTGCAGTAAACACACAGTTTATCATCCAACATGGCAGAACTGTCTAAAGTTGTTGTATCCCACATTTCACTTTGCAGTTCTGATTAGATATTACTCACCATCGGAGTGGATTCATGAGATTCTCTCCTGCCAGGTTTACGGCACCATCACAAAGTGGGAGGCCGTCAGACTCCAATTCACCCTGAATGAAGAGATACAATGATTGGCAATGTGATAGATAGGGGATAAATGGAAATAAATCTGACCATTCTGGTGCAGATAGGCTGGCCTGCTCAAATCCAGCTCCTTAAAGGCCACTTTGTGTTAACCTGAGATCATACCCATGTTATCTTCCCCGGTCCTGGTTGGCGAGATATCACCGTGACCTCATGACCCTTGTCTCTGAGCAGGCGTGTCAGCTCACGGCCCACAAAGCCAGACCCGCCTCCTGCATGGAAAGAAAGGGATAAAAATGCAAATGCAGATCTAACATTTTTCCTTGAAAGTGAACGAATTGTTTATCGATGATTTCTTAATTTAACCAATTTGTTAAACCGACCCATTTAATAGCAATGGGACTTAAAATAAACCAGTGTCAATTTATCTTGACAAGTGTTAAAAGTTTTAAATAACACACCAAGACAGTCAAAGCAGTGCGCATGCGTACTGTGCACGCTTACAAAACAGGACTGCCTTCAATGACCGAACATAAACTGAATAACAAAGAAAACAACAAATAAACAGTGTTCGCTGTGCAGATCAAAAGCCATCTCCGGCCAGACGGACAATCTTCATATGTCAGTCCACACAAAAATAAATTCTGCACAATAACTGGCTGCAGATTTAACATTAGCCAACAGCTAGCAATGTGTCACACTGACCTTTCCAGACAACTTTTTTAAATGATTAAATTATGTAAAAGAGCCACGTACCAATTAATACTCTCATAGCCAAAAGAAACTCCCGCCAAAGGCAAAGGTTTGTGTCCCTGAACCTCGCAGTTTCTCACACCTTGGCTGTCAGACTACGCTGGCTTGGTTACTGTTAGCGAGTTATTGGATCCTTTTTGGACTGCTGGGCTTTCCGTACTCCCGGGAGGCGGAAACTCATTTTGTCTCTCAGCTGAAGTCAGTGATGGAAACACCTGCAGTCCTCTGGTCTCACGGATATTTCCACTACAGCGAAGATGGGAAAACGCCGAAACGAGAGCTGTTCAATTTAATTTATACATTCATTAAAAGCTCACAAAAGGGGATGTTTGATTTTTGATTTTATGATATAGTGTTAGAATAAAGAAGGAAATATTTATTTAGATGTCATGGTATAGTGTGGATCTGTTTGCTGAGATACAGGACAGAAAATGGATTTGAAAATAAATTTGCCTTTTTCTCTTTTTTACATGATTATTATCAAAGATTTGTGACTGTACAAAAAAATTCTGTTGGCTTTTTCTACGATTAAAAAATTTGATTAAGAAAACTAGATTACTTAGCCCAAATAATCAAATTATGGTTTGTTACTCATTCATTTATTTGCACAGACACAGGAAGAGGACTCTGTGTCCTCTGATAATTACTTGTGCATCTTTCTTTCTTGTGTTTATCCTGAAACATCTTTGGGATTTTAGTGAAACTAAATGTTTACTATTGATGTCAGACCAAAGCTCCCTAAATTCAGCCATGATAAAACTAAAAATTGTTAGTTTTCTATTTGCAAATTTGAGATGAATGTGTTTATTATCAACGTTATCGTATTGGGGTTTAGGAATAAATACGAAGGCTTATTAAATGGATTCAGAAGTGTTTTTCTGTTTTGCTTTATGTTTCCTGGGCTGTTTCCCGCTCCCACTAAACCCGGACGCGTCGGTAAACACGTGGTTTGATAAGGAGATAAATAGAGGCGCAGCCTCATTAACGTCCTCTCTTCCTGGTTGCGGTTGTGCGGGTCGGACGTGTGGTGACCAGAGAGCCAAAAACCGGCGTGTTTCCCGGCCTCTTCGCGGTAAGTGCTTCTGATAACCTGCGTTACGCCGCAGGTGATGCGTTTGTTTTCGTGCGTGAGGCTGTTCGCTGTGGTTAATCCGTGAACCGTCTGTTAGCTCCCCGCTATCAGCAGCCAGCCACCACATGGCCACAGATCCTCAGCCATTAACTGACCAGAGATGCATAGTTGCGTCTGTGATTCCTTTAAAAATGCCTTGAAACGGTTAAACTGACAACCAGAATTTTTTTGGAATATTTTACAGATTTGAAACTTTTAGTTTGTCTTGGGTACAATCAAATGCAGGTCTTCCTGAATTTGTTTAAGCGGAAATAACTGTGGGGACTCTTGGTGTTCTGTTAAACTGTAGTCCATTTATTTTATTTTTTATATTTACAATGTGAATGTAAGTGGAGTCGAAGCCCAGTGATGAGTTGCATGTGAGTCCGTGTTTCACCTGAAGCTGATGATTATTCTTTCACTGCACTGATGGGTTTTGACATCCAAAGGTCAGCATGTGAGGTCGGCTGCTGGCGGAACTCTCCTCTAATCTGCCTTCTCTTTTTTTTAGGACTGGTGAGGCTACTACAGCTATACTTTAATCAGGTAAGGGAACTTTGGAGTCTTGTTGCATTGTGAGCCATAGACAGAACTAAGACTAAACCCTGTTCATGTTATATCATTTCTGTCCTTAATCCAGTCCTTCAGATATTTTAAACGTTCTGAAACATGCATCACATTTCACTCTGTCTTGTCCTACTTCTTAAATGGTTTTTGCCTAAAAGTTGAACTGAACTGTTGCTGTAAAATGTTAAGCCTTTCCTTTCTGGTTTTCCAGGTGGGACCACTAATGGAGCACTGAAGCTGTGAGGGGCTGTTTTATCACCTGTTTGAAATAAATTCAGTTTACACTCATCTGGTGCCTTTTTTCTTTCTTTTTTTACCCGTAGTTGACTGTAGTTTGTTGAATTAAATTGGTTCCAACAGTGAGGTCTGGCCAGTGTCACCATGATGCCCGTCAGTGGTTCCTACTAATGAGCTAATGGCTGCCTAGCTGCTTGGACCTCATTTGTGATGGAAACCCACCTAAACTGAGTAGTTACTGAGGAGAAAGTCTCCTAAATGGCTTACTTAACAAACAGGCAAAAGGATGAGATTCTGGAGTTTTGTTTTGTTTTTTAACCTGGTATTTTATGTAAAATCACCAAAGCTGAGTAGATGAACAGAGTAAATGTGCTGTTCTGATATACAAATGACCATAAGGCCATCACTCCATATGACTCTTCTGTGTTGAACATCAGTGCTAAACTTTGAGCTCCAGAAATTCAGATGTGCTTTCAGAAACTTTATTTATAAATAAACTTGCAGTAGAAAAAGTAATTTACTTGAAATGGACAAGAACTCAAGCTTGCATCATGTACAAAGAGTTTGCAGCAAATACTTGCATAACAATTTGAATCAAAACATGTTGGTACAATGGTTTGTCAACTCAAATTAGATTAGTTTACAGGGTATAAATACACAAAATTGGATGTCCCAGAAGCAACATCTGATTAAAAAAATTCATCAGCATGACATTACATTTATAAAATGTAAATGTTCTTTTTGTTTACAGTCCACCACATTTAGCTAAAACACTACAGCTGTTTTACATTTGTATAATTTTTTTCTTTTGAAGACTGCATTAAAACCAGAAAAATGACAAAATATGATGAAATGCATTCAACCTAAAAAAAATACATTTCAAGCTAAACATGGGAACATAATTCATACAGGCAACAAAAATGTAGCTAAATGAAGTCACTTCAATATATCCAATCAGAAGTAAAACATTTAAATTTGATCTAAAATGTACACTATGAACAGGAATCTTATCAGGAATATTATCTCACATCTTGTGTGAGATAATATCCATACAAGGAATTTATCACTATAGAGACTTATCTTAACCTTACTGGTGGTAAAGTTTTTGGCATTAACACAATGTTTTCCAACACAGCCAACAATCTGCTGTCTTCATCCGCCCTCTGCAGAGCTTAAAGAGCTGATTCACTCATCTGAATCAGCTGGAACAGAAACTTAGAGCATGCAAGATCGAGGGCCCTTTAGACCAGGGTTAAGGAACACGGAGAACCACATTACAGACGGTACTTTTTGTCATATCCGTTAAAAACAAGCTGATTTTGTCAGCTCAAAAGAGTCAAATAAAAAGCACAAAAGCATCGCATTTTCAGAGAAAACTGATCCTAACATCCCACATGTAGTTTTACTCATGAATCCATGAGTTTTCATTGGTGTACAAAGTCCACTCAGATGCTTTAACTAACCTCAGCCGTCCCGTTTTGTGTGGAAGTGTTTACTGACTCAGCGTTTTGTCCGCTACTGTTTTTACCCTTCATCCGACTCTTTTTGTTCCCCGCTTGATCAGACGTGCCTTCAAAGAGCTTGGCCATGAAGGCGAAGCCGTTTCTCTTGATGTAGGACTTGCCTGCGAATGTGTAGAGGATGGGATTGGCACAGCTACTGATGAAAGCAAAGGCTGAAGTCACTGCGCGGCTGGATTTCTGGATATGGTCCAAACTGTCGGCACAGGAAGAGCTTAATGACAAACAAACCCTTAGAATGGTTCACTTCAGTTCTTTAGGGCATAACTTTTCTTCCAATTCATAGATAATTACACTGTAAGGCAGACTTCTTTATCAGTGTTTCAGTCATTTGTCATAAAAAAGGACCCAGGAAATCCTGAATAAATAGAAGCTGTGGCTGCTCCAAACCTCTAATTCAGTGAAACTGAATAAGGCAACTCACATTTCTCTGGTGGGTGAATCCATTGGATACCACTCTGCTGCCACCTTAAACAGATCAAAACACACTCGTTGTCTAATCAGAAGAAAACCGGTCCATGTCGATGAGAAATGAAGCCCCCTTAACTCACCTGTATCATGTTCACTACGTGGTACGGCAGCCAGAAGAGGCCGAAGGTCACCACGATGGCCAGGATGAGTTTCTCGCTGCGCACCTTTCGGCGGAACTTGGTCTGCCTCAGGCGCCTCAGGATGAGCACGTAGCTGGTGATGATGACCGCGTAGGGGAGGATAAATCCGCACACCGACTCGAGGGCGTACTGAAACCTCACCTTCACCAGGGCGGTGGCAATCAAACAAACAAAAACAAAAAAAGCAAAATGAGAAACGATAAATTGACTAATCGGTGGGAAAGTCGTCCCGAAGATGTCAGAATTTATCTCTGGGGTTCGAGCTGAATCGTTTAAAGTTTTAAAAAATCACCGAAAGACCCTGCTACATGATCAGTAGTCTGAAAATGAACTGGTAAAACAGGGTTTATTCGGTCATCACACCCAGAATCTTCCCCTTTAAACCCATTCGTTCGTCAATTTTTCAAAAAACCCAACGCGTCTTTCTGTACTCACATATCGAGCCAGGCTGTGTTCGGGGGCACACACCAGCCGCGTCTTGTTCTTCTCATCGCTGTCCTCTCTCACGTCCCGAAACACCAGCGAGGGGACGGAGATCACCATCACCAGCCCCCACATGCCCAGGATCACCCACCTCACCGTCTTCCTGGTGATCCGCTGGGACAGCCTCTGTGGCCAGAGCATGACCACCATCCGGTGCACGCTCATCAGCGTGATGAGAAAGATGGAGGCGTACATGTTGGCGTTGCACAGGTAGAAGAGGCATTTGCACATGGGGTGCCCGAAGACCCAGGTCTGCTTGGCGAGGTAGACGATGAAGAAGATGGTGAGGGCCATGATGAAGCCGTCCGCGCAGGCCAGGTTGAGGATGAGCAGCGTGGTGACCGAGCGCCTCCGGATTCGGGCCAGGATGCTCCACACGATGAAAAGGTTCCCGGGGACGCCCAACACGAAGACCAGGCTGAGGATGAGCGCGCCCAGGGAGGTGGAGAAGTCGTTGCTCACGACGCTGTCGTCCTCCGGGTTTGTGTCGTTAACCGAGTCCCCCAGAAAGGAGCGACCGTCGGGATCCATGCCAGAAGTCCCCATCCTGCACGCTCAAGACAAAGAGCACATAACACAGAGTCATTTTCATGTCAGATCACAGGGAAAAATGACTGGAGATGGGCAGAGTGACAATACCTGAGAGAAAAACGACTCCCCTCAACTGCATTTGTTCAGTTTTAAAATCCATGTTTAGTTTAGTCTGATGTTCGACATGTTTGCTTGGTAATTAGCCAGTTGTAAAGCTTTAGCCAACATAAAGCTTAAAAATCAGTTTCTGGATGACGAGCAACTTTCATCTCTGCTAAATAAACAGAGCTATGTTGAACCACAGCCTTAACGGGCTAAACAGTACCCGCAGTTTGTCCAAAATCCAGTGAGATCAGCATTGTGCAAACCACATGAGGAGATGAAGCCATAACGCGCTCACAGGGAAAGTTCAATGTTGGACTGCAACCGAAACCATTCAGGAACACTCGACTATTCCCAGTCCAAATGGAGTTGGTCGGGTCTGTAAGCATCACTCTCTCAAGTCAAAGATGAGTCTTTGTCAGAAATCGACTGTGAGGAGTTTCAGTGTCCCCAATGGTGGGAAAAATTTGAATGAATGATTTCTGAGATAATTGTGACTCTTCTGGTAGAAGTTTGAGAAAGGAGGCCGGAATTCAATAGAAATGTGCAAATTGATTTTTTTGCACATTTCAACGGGCTGTTGAAAAGGTTTTGTGTTGTCTTTGACTTAAGACACAACAGGTTTTTACCTCTGATGAAATACAGTTTTGAGATTTATCAGAGCTAGGTTGTGTTTGTTTTGTCCACACACCCAAATTCTCCGATAAAAAGAAAATATAGTTATGTCCAACAACTTAAACTTAAGGCAACAATATTGAGCGCTATCTAGGAATTATTATATTCAAACTGTAGTCCATATTCTGGACATTTTGATGATGACATCAGTAATTGATCTTTGACATTGTGAAACATTTGTGCAGCAGTACAAACCACACACTAGATGTTCACTTCACAATCTTCTCAGGGGTGCTTCACACAGGAAATATTTGCCCATCCCCTTGCAATTTTGTATCTAAAAAATCTTTAAACCTTCTTACTCATTATTGTGCCACTCAGCTTGAGGAAATAAAAGAAAGTCCTTTTTGAAGAAACTGTGAATTGCTTAAAAAGTGGTAAAAGAGGGAGGCGGTGACTCAAAAACGGACAGAAACTGTATTTTCTTACAAACTAAATGACTCTCTGTGGCTTGTATGTTGGATATCTAATAGCCACTGGACGGGGATGTTTACCAATAGTCACCAATCCTTCAAGGCTGGTTTACAGAGCGAGAATGTGGCTTCCAGCCTGACGCACGCTCAGAAATATTTCCATCAGAGCCTGTAGCAAAAGCGGCGGCAGCGTGCTAAAACACGCCGAACCACGGCAGTTCTGCGTCAAACGCAGGCTACATTTCGACACACTGATTCATGTTTTTTACCACGTCCTGAGCCTTCCTCCTGGTTGCATTCGGTTCACATGGAAACAGCTGGTACAAAGGTCAACACGTTGACCTCTCAGTTAGTTTTACCCACAGTAGTAAAAGATGCCCCCGACCCACTCAAAAGAAAACCCAATTGTTACACAGAGGAAAAAGTAATTTGATCCCAAACTTGACGTCACAAGATTAGAATAAGACATCAAGTATTCATTTCCTTTTCAAGCTAAAACCCATCTTTTTATTTTCCCCAGATGGTTTCATACTGTGTGAACAAAATGCATCTGTTTATATTACTGCAACTAAAGGCAACATTAAAAAAAGAATCATGGCATGGTTTGCTTTTATACTTTTAGTTCAACAATAGAATAAATCAGAAGTGGAGCAAAACTGTTATATGAAACTGTTGTAGCACAGATGCCACAATATTTCATGGAAATTTGAAAAGGATCAACAATAAACAGGATAAATAAACAACAGAAAAAACGTTGGAAAAGCCAAAAGAAAGCAATAATGGTAAGATCGCATATTTACTTTTTACTGAAAGAAACCTTCTGCCACCAAATTCTCGTCCAAATTACAGCGATCCCAGAGCTTTGCGTTACATCTACTACGAGCAAATAACTGAATAAAACAAGTTAAAATAGGTCCACTGGAATAGGTTGGAAATAGGAACGGGCAAAGTAAAAAAATGACCAGGAAAAAGGCAGTAACTTACCTCTCTGGGATGTGAAGGCTCTAAATGATCTCCTGTCCTGCTCTGACTGTGTCTCTGTTAGCTCGGCTCATAATTAGCTGGATCACATCCTCCCTGCAGGCTGTAACATGCTGCCCTGATGAGAGGTGTGTCCTCCTCTAAAACTCTCACTCCTTCCTCTGTCTTCAGTTGTGTTTGTGTTCATGTTTTTTCACCGTGTTCATTTCAAATGTGCCTGAACGAAAAATGCATGGAGAGTTTTTTTTTTGGGGGGGTAAACAAGCATTCTTTTGGGAAGCATTCCCAAGTGTCATTAATTAATGTATATTTTTGTGTCATGGGGTACTTTCTACTATACAACCGCAACTAACGAAGGGGAACCGATTAGTATCAGTGACTCAGAAAGCTTGTGTCATGGATCCTGTGCACACAGGTGCAAACATGAAGATAAAGAATGCACATACGTAAAAAAAAAAAATGAGCCTCTCGGGTTCAAACAAGCCTTGTTCTGTCAGGAATTCTGGTTTCCACGAAAGAGTGGAGAACAAAGAAAAGATTTCTTTGAAGACCTTCAATAGAAATTAATAAACCTCACCGGTCAGGGGGATCAGGCTGAGAGGAGAAACACCTTCAAGATTAAAAAACATCTCATTTGATTATACTACCAATTAGTGTGAGGGGATGGTGAGGGAAATTAAAGGTTGAATTTGATACGATTGAGCCTCACAAAGGCCACCGGCTTAGGACACCTCAATAATGACGCACGACAAAAGCGACCCAAATCCAGTGGATACCTGTCCACTTCTTCAGACCTTCAGATCTTTTTTTTTTCTAACTTGCACCACAATTTGTCTCATGTTGGCAGCAAAATCAGTAAAATAAGAGCCAAAATAAGTTCCTTTTCGTGGGTCAGCTGGTTTGTTCTGGTCCATTTAATGAATTCATCTGAGCTTTTTGCCTTCCTCAAACTGCTTTGCCATAAACAGGAGTATCAAATATGATTAAATAAATCATATTAAATAAAGATTAAAGATAAGATTAAGAGATCAAATAAAGATTAAATAAAGACACCTGTAGATTTGAGACTGTCTTGTACAGAGCTGAGTCCTCTGACAGGGCAGCAGCACCCTCTGCAGCTTCTACAGAGAAGCGGAGAGGCTTAAAGCATCCAAGCGAAATCCTGCTGAGCTTTTTAAACCAGAAGAGAAAAGGGCATGCCATGTGTTGTATGACCACTGGGCAAGAATATGATGTATTAGTTCCTCCACACAGATTAACCACACAGATTAACACAATCATGAGGGCTGATAGAGAGAGGGCCACAATCTCTGAGGTGGGGGGGTTCGGTGGAGGTCAGAAGAATGGAATTTAAATCTATGACTCAGCGTGTATTATTAAGTGTATCTAAAGTGTATCTAAGTGTATCTAAAGGAAACAAACTGATGCGACCCGGACCATAGAAATCAAACATACCAGGACCATAAAAATTTAGCATACCAGGACCATAAAAAACATAAAATACCAGGAACATAAAAAATCTAACGAACCAGGACCATGAAAAACATAAAATACCAGGACCATAAAAAATCTTACGAACCAGGACCATGAAAAACATAAAATACCAGGACCATAAAAAATCTAACGTACCAGGACCATTAAAACATAAAATACCAGGACCATAAAAAAATCTAACATACCCGGACCCTAGAGAGCTAACATACCAGAACCGTAGAGATCTGCCATACCAGGACTATAGAGATCTACTATGCCGTGTTTGAGAGGGATGATGACCACAAATGGCCAAAATTTTATCACAATTTGACCGAGTGTGTGAGATTTTGAATTAGTTAAAAAATAAAAACACAGCAATATAAAAAGAATTGGCTGTATGACAGTAAAACAGAGGCCAACATTTTCCCTAATCCACCCCCGCCCCTGCGTGCTGCTTAACTCATAACCACATGTTTATGAAGTTCCTATCACATCCACGATCCCACGTTTATCTTCTCCAAACTGCTTTGTCGTCAAACAGGCTTGTAGATTTTTGGGATACTCTAATGGCTCGTAGTCAAAGGGAACAGATTAACTAACAACTTAGCTGCGCAGGTTGATGTCACTTTGTTTTTTGTTTTTTGTTGCCATTTAAACAGACAGCATTGGAAAACCCAGACAGGAAGAAGAGCAGCCAGCTGAAGACCAATCGAGATGTTTCACACAAGCTGACACGTGTCCAGAAGCAGGTCATTGCTATTCAATGACTGATTCAAATATGTTAGAGCTCCAAAACGTTGTCCAAAACGTTGATCCAAAACAAATTCTGGATTCTGGAAAAGATGCTGGAAGTTGATGATTTGGTGGATATTCTTGAATGCAAATAGACTCAGAGACTCTAATAGAAAAAACTATGACGGTAAGAAGTAAAGCCACCAGGAAAAAGTCTCTGTGCATTTCTTTTTTTTTTTCTCTTAAACTAGCAAATAACAGTTCCTTTCGATCATGTTACAGTCGTGTCATTCTGAGGTATATTGCAAGGGTTTACTGATTCTTACAAAGAACCCAAGAAATTCCTACGTCTGCCTGGTTGGTAGCACTCTTTCCTTTCCCTGACCACACTCAAACATCTTTAGATCAGTCCAGTATTTAAATCTGCCCACACAACCCCAGGAGGATGACAGGGGGAATGAAACAAGCCCCCGGTTACACACCAGTTGAACATACGCCTTACGATTGTGGGAACCAAAGGCAGGCAAGGAAGGAGGAGGAGGGGGGGGTGATAGCAAAGAGTTGGGGGGAGGAGGAGGAGTCCAGGCAGAGGGAGCCAGAGAGAGTGTGTTTATTTAAGTTTTTCGTCTCCTGACTCAGACAGAGAGCAGACTACAGAGGATAATGAGAACCAGATCTTTGGTGGAGAGGAAGAGGAGGGAGGGGAAAGAGAGCGCAGGGAAGAAGGGGGGGAAAGAAAAAATGAAGAAGAAGAGAGGGGCAGGAGGGGAGAAGGGGGGGGGATGACAGCCAAAAAAAGAGGGGGGGTTGTGGCCACAGGAAATAGGCCCTCTCATGTTCACTAAGTGACAGTTACCATTGCAGCCCTGGTGGCCGTGCAGCCGTCGGCCCGCCGTGTGTCCTGCTCACCATTAGAATATTAATCACCCTGCTTTTTAGGGCTGGAGATGTGCAACAGGTATCTGAGCGGGCGGGGATTCGGACCTGAGTTTAAAATCCTGACGGTAGAGGAGGGAAAAAGAAGTGGATCGTGTTGGGATGAAGCAAAACGAGATCAGATCAGCCACATTAGCAGTGTGTATTTACATGTGAAATGAATGTGACTAAAAGAGAAACCTCCACAGAGAGCCAGGAGGGGGAGAGGAGGGAGGCTGGAGGCTGGGCAGGGGGGGATTCATGACTGACACATGGAAGGTCCTATGGGAAATGAGTAACGGACCAACTGGATCTGGGAAACCCACCCAAAGGCAATTAAGGGTAAAGGACGACAAAAATATCTGATAAACTTTTCTCCCCTCTCTCGTTCTTGATCTGGACAGATGGAAAAACAAGGAGTCATGGACTTAACGAGGAAAAAAGAGTGAAATGTCTTTTTTTATTTATTTATTCTTACTTGGGAAGATGTTTTGGAAAACACCGTGAATTATCCGGAGCGAGGATCTGATTTGGAGCCATCAGCTCTTAAAAAAAAAAAACTTCTGCAAACGGCCAAACAAGGGGGAAGCGATCTGGAGCAAGTTGGTGGTCGTAAAACTGGCGATATGGGGACTACTTTTGCGCAATGACACGCTGAGAGGGGGGGAAAGGGGGAAAAGTTCGAGACCACGGAGAAAAAGTTTGGCTTTATTTTTACGCGGCGCACCGAGGACGTCCCGGGCCGCTGTCTCCGTAGCGGGACGCGCGATTTGGGATCGGTGTGTGTGGGTCTTCGTCCCCCTGCTGCTGGAGGGGCGATGGGGGCCGCGCCGGGCGCGGGCTGGGAGGAAGGCGAGTTCGAGTTCAAGCTGGTGTTTGAGGAGGACCCGGTGCGCACGGCCGAGCCGGACACCGCCGCGGCCGGGAGGGAGGAAAGCGAGGGCACCCTGCTGCAGCTGGACTCCTCCGAGAGCCGCAATCCGGGTCAGAGTCTTGACGAGATTACGCAGCCATGACGACAGGAAGTCTGAGTGGCCTTGAAAAGTTACTTAGTTTAATAGCCTACGCGGTGTAAACTGCGCGTATACAGAAATGAAGGGCCCACGTCTACGCGCTGGCTCTGATTGGGATGCGAGTTTGTGCGTGAGATGAGATGGCATGTGATGTGATGTGATGTGTGCGTGCCTGTTTCCGTGAGCGAGTTTTTGGATTCGTCGTGCGGTGCGCTCGTTCGGAGCGCGGTATGCGTTTGCGTGCATATCTGACCGTATTCTTGTTCCTTGAGTGCTTTTTGCGTGCGTGCGTGTGTGTGTGTGTTTGGGCATGTGTGCGTGCGGCCGCAGACTCAATGTGTTTCTAATCAGCTGTGCGTGTGAGCAGAGTTAACAGCTGCCATCTGGGGAAGGAACCTCAACCTCTTGTGTACTGAGCGCACCAAAGAGGCTACACCCCCCCCCCCCCTCCCTTCTTTTACTCGGCTTCCATCGCCTTCGTTTTTAACCTCCACTCCCTCACCAACACACACACACACACATACACACACACACCTCACATCCACGCACCCGTTTGTTTCCCTCTGGCACTCACTGGTATTACCACACCCCGAGACACTGCTTTCCAAACCCCCCCCTTTTGTTGCAAACTTTTCACGTCAAAGAGCAGAGAAACTGATCACTGGTGTCACTAAACGCGTGCACGTTTCCAGTTCACAGATGTCTTCACCTAAATATTATTGTGACTAAACTTTCTTTTTTGAAAACCGCCTTGAAAATGACAGATTTGAAGTTTTATTCACAGCATTTAGTCTCTCCTGGCTCCACATGCCTTCAGGGTTGAGGGTATCTCTCAGTAATCTATGTGTTAATTTGGATGTAATGGAGCCCAGTCCAGGGGTCAGATGAATTAGATATTTCACATTCCTCCTCATATCTCACAGGCTGCTTTAAATAGATATTGTTTTTTCAATCTTATGCAAGATACACAGAAATTAATATTGGTATGCCTTAAAAGGACAACTTTGAGTACGGGGTTAATTCAGGCAGGTCAAGTGTTTTTTATTTGCTCTTAACCTCGTATTTGATATGATCCCGACTTTAGCATGACTACAAGAGCACACCAACTCATCACTCAAATTTACAAATCTAATAAACCATTATTTAATACACAATAGAATCCACAGAGACCACCACATGTTGAAGGTGAGACATTTGACCTGATCAGGAAAACCATCAACACATAGTTAAAGGAAAGATAGACAGGTAGACAAAATCATGTTTAATACATGAAGCATTCGTTCTTCTTTCAGATATGAGCTCAACTAACATGACTTGCTTTCTTATTGAATTACAGTTGAGTTATTTTGATTTGATTTTTGCCAAAAGTCAAGATAACTTTGACTTTACAGTCCCAGAGAAAAAGAAAAATCCCTGTTTTTGGTCACGCCGCAGTGCATCGTGGGTAGGGGTGACGTAAAGAGGGAATCTCTGTGGAACAGCTCCAGTTTCTGCACATTACAGCAGAATAAAGACGTCCTCTATTCAGGCATTCGTTTGAACCCAAATGCTCTTAAAGAGGTGAAGACGAGACTAAATGAATTACTGAAAAGTACACCAAGATGAAGAAGATCAGAGGGAGAGGAGTGGAGCAAAGTCTGTGGTATTTGTGCAACAGCTGCTTCTCAGTGCTGAAAAATGGGCTCCAGCTTCTGTTGTTAAGGAGAAACATGTTGTCAACCAACATGCGACTTTAGTGTCAGGATCCAGGTTACTTGCGTTTTTTCTTGTCTTTGGGTTTCTTTATTTTCTCGCTTTGTGGTTTTGCTCTGCTTTGTGTCCTTAGTTGGCATTTTGTTCGAGATGAGTTTGTTTGTGTTCTTAAGTGATCATTATTTCTTCCTTTTTTAGTCGATATTTGTCTTTTTTTAGTTACATTTATGGTTTGTTTTTCACTATATTCACACTGCGGGCCAAAGTGTCCCATTCTTGGCTTTTTATGACAGCGAAAAGCAGAAATCCGACTCAGGCCCCTTTCATATCTGATGCTTTCCAGAGAGACCCCCCTCTGAAAGGTCGCCTCATATCTCAGCCCACTTGTCTCTGATCGAAGGGAGACAGGGGTCACAGCGCTTTGCTGTTGGGATGCTATGGGGTCGAGCTTAAAAAATGGACGAAACAAGCGCGGCTTGGCATTTTGTCAATTTCACCTACACAACTTCAGAACAGCTACACGCTCGCTGCCTCACGTAGCGCCCGAAATGACCTCATAAAACATGTGTGTGACATCACATCCTCAGACCGCTCCAAGAATCAGATTCAGAAAAAACTTTATTTACCCCCAGGGGCAATTAGAGGTCCCTGAATAAGTCACATGTAGCATTGACAAAATATACAAAATTCTTAAAGCAAGCAATTAAACGAAAAGGCAAAAAATGTTGAAAACAGCCATTAGAAATTAAAAACGTCATGCAGAGAAAAGCTGCTCTGACTTGAATATGATGTTTTCTAAAAAAGTTAAAACAGAGGGGAATTTTGAGGTAAATTTGATCTGACAGGGTGTGGAAGCTTTGCAAACAAACCTCAGTTTTCCCACTTTGCAACACTTAGAACAAGCAATTGTACCTAGTTACTTTTGAGTAAAGTAATTGCTGGCAAAACCGCCTATAACGCTTCACCAAATTCATAATCCATGCTGCATCATGAAGCTCAGGATCTAACATTTGGTCAAAAGTGCAGTATTTTGTGACCACTGTTGTGGACTCTGAACTAGAGTGGGGGGTGGGAGCTAAGGAGGTCAGTTTAGAGCACTTTCTTGGACTCTAAAAGAGCTTTTTACTGTGTTCAATAAGTGTTTGGTAAGCAGTGAGGTCTCATAAACTGCACACACACACACACATGCCAAATCTGTGTTTCAAGCAACTGCAAAAAAAACTCCCAGAGAAGAGTTACCTCAGCACTACAGCTTTAATCACTTGGAAATATTTGTTTTGCCAGGAAACATTTCAAGAGATTTTTCAGCCCAAGTCTTAATTTGCTGGCGGTTTCTCTTCGTGTCCTCGTTGCCCAAAAATTGCCTGAGTGGCCGGCTGCCGAGCGGAGCAGCAGCGATCAGATGGAGCCTCGCTCATTACAGAGTAACTACTGTTTGGCCTCGTGTGGAAGCTGTCCCCGCAGCACTGGGGATGAGGGGTTGTGTCCTCCTCTCTGTGGGCGTCGCGTAGACTATGAAGACGTTTTATATGATAGAAAATGTTATTACTTTATGTCATTATTAGCAGCAAAGAGTGGGATTTTTAAAGAAAAAACTGTCTGATCACCATGACTTGCTTCAAGATTGAATTCCGCACGTTAATATATGAAACAATTCAAGTTTTGTTTCCTGAAATATGATATTATAATCTTCCTATTGTGTCTATTATTGAAACGTTTAGGACCCATGTTGTTTTGCAGTAGACTAATGCATTGAATTATGATGGAAGTGACTGTTTTCTGACTTTCTCACATGGCTTGATTGCATTTTTCAGTCTTAATGCTAAGCTAAGCAGCTATCCTCCTGCAGTACCCAGAGACAGCTGTTTTCCAGCACTAGTTTTTGTGCATAATCCTGATATTCGTATAATTCCTGATAAGTATTTTGGATTGGTATTTTAATTAAACTACAACAGGACACAGAGTTGTAGTTTCAACAAAACTGCTAGGCAAAAGCAACTGTAACTCATAAGAACCCAGACCATTTTTTCTCTAAAATTAAAATTTATTAGAGAAACGTGACCAAATGGGATCACGTAAAAAAACAAGCTCCCCCATCAAATGTCATAGATCTGTGACGATCCCCACAAAAGCCATCCTGTAAGATGAACTGTTTTTATATTAACTGACCAAAGCTTTTAACTGCAATTTAGATTCTCGTGGTACAAATAAATTGAAATGTTCAAAAACCAGATGATGTACACAGAAAAATGCATTCAAAACAAACCCTGATTTCTTGACGTGTCATGAATCCTCCTCTGTGCTCATGACATCAACGAAAATTGTTCTAATAGAATTATCCACTAACAAGCTTCCTTTTAATGACATTAAAGTCTATTTACTAATATTAAGACAAGACAAAATGTATCAAGCAGTATTCATGCAAAAATGAACTCTTAATAACACAGAAAAGAGCTCTTGATCGTGAAATAACAACATTGAAATAAATGATTGCAGCCACAGCTGCTGTTGGCTCCTCTTGAAAAGTTTGGTCCGTGTATTTTGCATATGGCAACAATTATTGCCGGCTAAATCATGGGAAACTAATGTGTAATGAATGATAAAGGCATGTCGATGTTAAAAATGACTTTTACCGCAAATCTTTTTCAAAATATTTTGATAGCCGTTTAATGAGCTTTTCTCATGCTATCTGTGAAAATAACCTGAGGGTTTGTGGAGCTGTCGTTTGGTTATAAAAAAAACAAAAAAGGTTAGCCTGAGATCACATAATCCTCCAAAACCTGCAACATATGACTGGAAAGAAAGTGTTTCATGCAACAGAAAGGTAGCTTTAAGAGCCTTAAGGGAATAAATCACATCATACGTGTATTAGAAATGAATAAAGAGGGCAGCACAATTATTAATAGGATGATTAAGAAAACAAGCAGCTTTTAAAGACATTTAGCTTGACAATTTCCCCTTTTTTTCTTCAGTAACAGATAACCACCTGGCTTCCTCCCATGCTGGACACTCAATCAGCATTCCCAGCCCTCCGCTGTCGTCCAATCAGCGGGCGGGGATGCACTCCCCGCCCCCTCGACGGGCCCCAATCAGAGAGTTCAGCGGGACCTACGAGAGCCTCCCCGCGCGCTCTGTACAGGTGAGGCTACACGCTCCTACATGGAAATCCTTTATTCTGTGTGGGAGATTCAATATTTTCCATTGATTTCCCTCATATTTCCACAGTCAGTGAAGCAGAAACCGGGTCTCGTGTCAAACTACAAAGAATCCCCACCTGAGTGAGAAGCGGCTCTTTGTTGAGCTGCAGTTTTATGGCCGTTGCCTTTAAGCTGGTTTTCCCAGAACACGATGCATTAAGGCTGAGATTTAGGACTAGGTATTTCTGTGTGGGGCGCAAGCTTTCAAACCCTTTTAGTAAAGTATTTGAGTGGAGGTTTTGGTGAAGACACTCTGCAGTCCCACTGTAAACAAATCAGTCAGCATTGGACAGAGTTTGTGGTTTTTGGATCCAAGTGTCTGCAGTTTTGGGGCTAAGTTGAGCCAAGAATTTCTGTCTTACAGACTCTGGTCTGAAAGAATGAAGATACGTGACCTATTTGGCACATTGGGCAGGCTTTTATTACTTTTGAGACAAACAAAATGGGAGGAAATTAACTTTGTTTGAGTTTTTCTGTGCTGCAGTGGCATGTTCTGGCGAGATCTGCATAGACAGAGGGTTTTCCCAAAGAGTTTATAAATTCTTTAGTCCATACTCCAAACCTGTTTCTTCCTGCTGGCGCCCTTCCAGATTCCTGCCATAGCACAAAAAGGCAACATACATCCTGAACAGGTCGCCGGTACAGTCCATCACAGGGCTAAAATACACATACACGATCCAAACACAAGCCACCTACATGTAAACATGCCGCTTTAACAGAGTGTGTTAACGGTCCACACTGGGCCTGCCCAGAACCTTCACGTGGGATTTTCTTTCTTTCAGAAAGGTAAAGCATCAACCGTTTCCTCTGATCTTTGGCCCAGGTTTCGGAATCCCGCGTGGTGGAGTGCCCCAGCATCCAGATTACCACCATCTCCCCCGAGGATGACCCGGCCCCCGTCGTTCCCAGCTACTGGGACATGGGCAGCGGCGGGGGGTGGGACAGGGAGCGGCTCTACCTCCCCCTGCTGGACCCCTTTTCCTACCGCGACAGATGCCCCGGCTCCCTGAGCCCCAGCCCGGCCTCCAGCCCGTCCTCCCGCGGCTGGCTCAGCCCGGCCTCCAGCTGCGACTCCCTGCTGGTGGAGGAGGAGGAGCTCAGCGAGGCCGCCATGGGCTTCGGTTTCTCGCCGTCCTCGCGGCCCACTTCGCCCGGAGGCAAGAAGCGCAGGAACTCCCCGCTGGCCTCGCCCTGCGCCTCCCGGAGGGGCAGCTACTCGGACGAACTGCACGGCTGCGGCCTGGAGGGCGGCGAATCATCCGCCCCGCAGTCACAAGCTCCGCCCAGCAGCTGTGAGCTCAGCATCCCTCAAAAAACCAGAAAAACGTCACTGGAACAGGTAAAAAAAAAAAAGAGGCAGGGTTCCAGATGTTTTTAGATTGGAAAACCAATGAAATATTAACCGGCTCGTGTTGTGTCCCAGTTGTCTCCCAGGGAGGTGGATCCGGAGCAGGCTCCAGGCCACGGCTCCCCCTGCCCGCTGCCAGAGACCCTGCAGACCAGGAGGGAGCTCCCCTCTCAGGGCATGGACTACCTCTCCGTGCCCCCGGCTCTGGCCTGGGGCCGAACCAGAGCCAGCGCCCACAGCCCTCTGTTCAGGCAGGAACACTCAACAATATCACCAGAGGGGGAGAACGTGTGCTGTGCTGATTACTAGTTCAATTAAACAGTAAAACACCCCCAGAATGAACTTCTTAGAGTGAATATTCAACACAGTTATCTGTTAATATTTCCTCATATTCGGAATATAACACTTACTTCATACTGCGTTTTTACAATAACTGGAGCTAATTCTGTGTTTTGTGTGTAAACTAGATGGAAGTTTTCCTAACTGAATAGTTTTTTCATGAGGAGAATGTGCGCCCACGTCTCAGAGTAGTCCACTGATCGAACTCCTTCCAGGTCCAACGCCCTGCCCCCCCTCGACTGGCCGCTGCCCTCCCAGTTTGAGCAGTACGAGCTGCGCATCGAGGTGCAGCCCCGCCCACACCACCGCGCCCACTACGAGACGGAGGGCAGCCGAGGAGCCGTCAAAGCCGCCCCGACAGGCCACCCCGTGGTTAAGGTCAGTCTCAGCCCCCCCGCAGACCTTTAACAAGGTCTCGGCTTTGGCAGGAGACCTTCAAAGCCCGCACAAAATGTTGAAGTAGAAGTTTTTTTGCTGAGGTCGTCGAGACCGAGTCACGTGTCGGGTCTCGGTGCCGACGGCCCCCCCTCACAGTTTGATCTCATCGCCCACTCTGAGTCTCTCTACAGCTGTGTGGATACACGGAGAGGAAGCCGCTCTCGCTGCAGGTTTTCGTGGGAACGGCTGACGACCGCTCCATCCGGCCGCATCCTTTCTACCAGATACACAGGTGCTGACCCCCCGAGTCTGTACGTCCCACAACCAAAACCCCATCGCCGTGCACCACTTTATGTCCAGCGTTGACCCCTCAGGCCACACAGTGCTTCCAGCACACACCACCCGACTGCATCTTTAAGTATTGTGCAACCAAACGCCCGCTGCTTCAACTGTTGCTTCAAGAAATTTCTGTCCAATTACGCACCCAGTGGGACTCGCTCTGTCTGAGGACATAATCTCTGTGCAAAAAGCATCTGCTATGTCTATACCACCCACAATGCTCATCTTCTGAGCTCCTTAGAGACGAAGAGCATGTCTGCCCCAGTTAATTGTCAGTCACATTAAGTTTTTATATCCCAGGAACTCTGTGAGATACTGTGCGACATCAACAACATAAAAATGATTCAATTAAAAATAAACATTTTGATTTCAGTGACCAAATTATCAATTTTTGTACCTTATCTAGAAGGATGGATGGAAAGATAGATGGATGTATAAAGATTTTAAAATGCCAATATATATTATAACACCTGAGACATTTGATAGTTACGAGTTAATGAATGAATAAATAAAGCTACTTTCAGTAAAAGTGAAGATGATGACATACGAGGAAGATTCATAGAGGATCAGCATGTTTTTAAAGGCAGATTTAACTCTTACTGTTTGCAGTAAAACTAGCAGTAATTCAGAGGAAAGAAATTAAATGACCATCTGGCTCACATCAGTTAAATTCTTAAATGCATGTAAACAGAAACCCTTCCTCTTCTCAACCTCTTAGGAAGGTTGGTGCAGTGCGTTTTTTTCATATGGAAATCCTAGTTCTGGTGGGACTTGATTTATAGACACCTTAAATGCGGGGCTGTTAATATCTTCGTCCGCCTGCAGGGTGACGGGAAAGATGGTCGGCACTGCCAGTCACGAGAGCGTCCAGGCAGGGACCAAGCTGCTGGACATCCCCCTCAACCCCGAAAACAGCATGACCGCTCTGTGAGTCAACCTGTGGTGTTTAACACGATTTATCCTTTAGCAGAGTCATGGATGTACTTACTGATTTATTGGATCATTAGTTTTATTCCATTGCTTCGGCATTGTAAATCTCTTGTTCTTTACGTGATAAGATTTTGCAAACAGTTAATGTAACAAACGCCATATTTGAGTGTTCAAAGTTCATTTTGGTCTGAAGTTTGACGAGCTGAGAGAAGTCCTGTGATTCACAGCATCGACTGCGCGGGCATTCTGAAACTGAGGAACTCCGACATCGAGCTGAGGAAAGGGGAGACGGACGTCGGGAGGAAAAACACTCGTGTCCGGCTGGTGTTCCGCACCCACCTGGCTCTGGCGCCCCCTGCGGCCCCCCCCGGGCGGGTCTTGGCTCTTCAGGTGGCCTCTCTGCCCATCGAATGCTGTGAGTGACCTCGGCTCTGACCGCTGGTGGTGGTGAACGCACCTCGCTCTGGGTGGGAATGCGTGTGACAGTGCTCGGCGTCCGGTGTTTTTTTTTCTCTCAGCCCAGCGCTCGGCTCAGGAGCTGCCCGTCATCGAGTCCGTCAGTCTCACGTCCTGCTCTGTGGAGGGGGGAGAGGAGCTACTGCTGGGCGGTAACAACTTCCTGCCAATCTCCAGAGTCCTTTTCATGGAGAGAGGAACAGGTAAACATACAGAACACTTTGGTATTAGGTCAGAAATCTGTTTTCTTTTGTGTGTTTTGTCATCAATATTCAGTGTTTTATGCTCTGGTTGTGAGTTAAGCACTTGGTCATCTGTGATTTTTGGTTTTAGAATTGATCAGAATGATGACAAATCAATGCTGGGCCCTTAACTCTTCCTCTTGCTCTCCTGTTTTAGATGGTAAATTACAGTGGGAGGAGGAGGCTCACGTCGACCGCGAAAGCAGCAATGAGGTCATTCATTTTCAGGCCCTTTAGTTTTGTCCCACCGGCTCTTCATTAACCGATTACCCTCTACTGTCATGAGCAAACTTGTATCTATTTTTGCTGCCTGTAGGGTCTGTTGTGTGTGCGGGTCCCAGCCTACAGCGACCTCTCCATCAGTCGGCCGGTGTCCGTCAGCCTGTACGTCTCTAACGGGAAGAGAAAACGAAGCAGCACCCACTGCTTCAAGTACCTGCCTGGTGGGTGCCCGGCTGCAGCCTGTTGTTTCCTCCCTCGTGCAAATTTTATTCATTTTGTGCTTCATCGAAACAAACTTTGTCAGCATTCTCATGCGGTTACAAAAGCCAGTGACCTTGTTACCGTGGTTACTGCCTCACTGCGAGTTATAAACAGACAAAAATACAGAAAAACACTGAGAAGTTCCTGCTTCTAAACTGGACTAAATGACCTTACACGCTACTTAAAATATTACTCATCTTTAAGCAATGTGAACATGATTTTTTGAGTTTGTGATCAGGTGCTGGGAGGTTTGCACATTATCTGTCAGTGGCAACAGACAAAAAAATGACAGGATGACTAATTTTCCGTCATTCCTCCTCTCAGTTATGTTCAAAGAGGAGGATCCCCTGCTGCACCGGTCCTCTGCGGCCCCCCTAGACGGGGGGACGATGTGTCCGGTGGGGGCTCCACCCAGGATGGACCGAGGCTTCCAAATGTCCGATGAGCGGGGCCTTGGTTTCCACCTGCCCCCCTACCCCTCCGCCTACTCCCCCCCCTGCCCGCCCATGAGCTACCACGAGGAGTTCTGCTCCAAACCCGACTCGGCTGTGGAGGAGCCGGCCGGGTCTGAGCGCCACCCCAGTTTCGAGAACCTGGAGCTGGGTTTCACCGAGCTCCTCCCCCCTCTGTACCCCCGCGGCCCACAGCCTCCCTCCCCCTCTCCTTCCCCATGGCTGGACTCTCCATACCTATCCTCCTCCCCCTCCCCCTCCCACTCCTCCTCTCTCAGCCCGTTCCCCACTGGAAGCCCCATCTCAAACTCGCCTCTGCCCCCCATCACCACCTCGCCGTATCCGCAGTACTCTGCTTTCCCTCAGGAGGTGTGTCCCTCCCCCCCATCCAACCCCTATCAGGACATCTGCTCGGCACCTTACTCCTACTACGAGGGCTGGGACCCCCAGGGGAGGGTGCTGGGTGCGGGTCACGGAGGAGAAGGGGATGCTAAGATCCAGGAGTGCCCTCTGGAGTTTACCAGCTCTGCCTCTATGCACCACATTACCTTTGAAGAAGGTGAGAAAAGCTTATTTACCTAAATGTGCAAGAATCTGTTCATACAATTTTGTTTTGGGCCACTGATACAAATAAGAGGATGAATGCAGTACAGGAAATGGCTGTTTTCATTACTGTTAATTATTTTGAGGTAATATTTAATGTTCTCATCTTCTATGCTATAACTATCGATTGAGAAGAGACATTTTAATCATGGTACCTGAAATTCCAGTACTTCTAATTTGTATATCCGTTAATTCTTCCATCATGGCATCTGATGGAGGGTTACGTCACCAAGTGAGGGAAATGTTTTAATGAGTTTGATGCAATGTATAATGAAAGCAATGAATGGAATTTGTGTTTTTCTGTGGTGAAAAATGAGCTAATCAGTGTTCCTTGCACCGCACGGCTATGATAATTAACAGATAATAAATTAATCTGATTAATTTGTTTAGCTTTTTTAGTGCTTTAACTGTTATTTCCAGATTATTTGGAGTTGAAATTAGTGGTTGGGTCCTTTCAAAAACAAATGAATTTCCCCTGAAGATTTGTGATTATAATAATAGCTTAAGTTCTTACAGAAACAGTAAATCAGTGAGTATGACCACACAGAGAATGGAGAGACGGATCCGGAAAACTTCTAAAATGACTGAAAAGTAGAAAGTAATTTGAGCCAGGATGAATAAAAGTGGTACATTTATAATAGGCACGAACAAAGAGGTATGTGTTCTCTGTGTGCTTTGACCGACTCCAACTGCATCAGGAGGGACATTGGAAAAAGTCGATATTGTAGGAATCCTACAGTTTGACAAAGAATAGGAATCACCTAGCAGGTTTCCTTCGTCTTTATCCCTTTGAAAAAAATCTGGTGTTTTGTGATCTCAAGTGATTCATATAAAATATTTTATGTTATGGGCTGCTGCTTTAGAAAGAGCCGTTCACATCAGTAGAAAAAAAGATGGAACAATCCAGCCTGTAAAACAGACATCATAATGGCTACAGTTCCTCGCTCCAGCTCGAGCTGCCTTAAAGGCCACGCAGACATAAGATCATTGAAGCAAAAGCCAATAACAGCACCCAAAACGGATTTCTGACAGGTGGTTCGTTTTTGGTCTCAGTATTGAATACTTTTCAACTGCAAAGATGTTCTGCTTTTGCGTGAAGCGAACAGTAAGAGCAGTAAGAGCAGCTTTTGTGTCCAACGGCTCCTCTGTCCATACTTACCAGCAGTAGCTGTCAACATGTGCTTTGGTTTGGAGTCTAGAGACAGTGTTGCTCAAATGAAAATGGAAAATCCGGCTCTGCATGTGTTAAATTCCTGTAATGGTTAATGAAAGGCGAACCAATAATGCTGCACCTTAACCGAACCCGGAAAATAACAAATGAATGCAAAAACAAACCATATGTCGATCTGGACGACATTCTGGAGGCTCCAAAATTCCTCCAGAATCAAAGAGTGGGAGTGTCTAAAATCCAGAAAAATCAAATAAATCAAGATTAAATATAAATAGTTTATAAAATTGAATATAACATTTCTTTTTAGCTCCCTCAAGCATGTCCTTCACAGCGAACGTTAGAATCCGATGCCAAATATTGTGGTAAACTAACATTAGCTTGTGTATTTGCTCGCAACGCCTTCGCCTCAGGATAGCTTACCTGATCTAAGATGTTATTGGATGCTGTTTTTCTGTTTTCTCCAGCTTCTCTTCAGCTGTTTTCTGAATTTTTTAGCTGAGCTACAGGGAAAATTCTGCCCTGATCTTTATATCAGGCCGTCGTGGGTAAAAAGCTTGTGTAGCAGGCTGGAATTCCTCCAGCTCTCCAACTGTTTTCGTTCCTTTGTGTGATAAGCTATAAATAGTTTTATTGTCTTTTCATTCTAGCTTTTCCTGAGTCAAACAAACAATAACAGAGATGCAGTATAAGAAATGGAGAGATTGCTAATTAGGTTTACGCTGCAGTGCAAGGATGTGATTTTCTCCTCTTTTGTCATCTCCACAGTGTCCGAGTTCATCGGAGAAGACATCCAGTCGTACCAGGGAGGCTCACAAATGAACAACCAGCCCAACTGAGCTCCGATTACCCCAATTTGATATTCAGCATCTTTATAAATTCCTTGTGCACTTGGTATGAAGATGTTTTGCAGCAGTTATTGTAACATTGACAAGAGACACTGTTGTTATTTCGCCCAGAGGTAACTGTTTTATAAAGGGAATTTAATGTTTTTAACATGTCTTCAATATAAATTATACAAGAAACAGTGGGTGTGGTGCGTCTTTCTGAGTGTGTTTTTTTTTATGCACCTGGAAAAAATTCAGGGAATAAAAGAACACTGAGTCCAGAGGGGAGGCACAGAAGGAGAAGAGCTAATGGAAAACGAACAGGCAATGAACAGTGAGTTATTAATCATAGTTTCTGCGATACCGAGGTAGAAAACAATAAAACGTCCAGCATCTCAGCAGAGTCTCTACTTTCGAATTACACTTGCAGAAATGTTGCGCCGCTAAGCTGTTTCCGTGTGACGGAAACATTTCAATAATGGCTGCAGGTTTTATGATCCAGTGCTGTCAAATGGCAGCAGTTAGCTTTAATTTACTCTGTAATAGTTTACTGAAATAACTTTTCATCAGATAAGATAACTTGGAGTAGCTATTAAATAAGAATTTGCTCATTGAGTTGAGAAATTCCCTTCAGAAAAAAGTTCCTCCTGGAGTTGCAGTGAGGCGTTAAAAGAAGCCAACAGCCTGACCTTTTCAGCGGGCTGTGGGGTTTGAAGCCGTTGGAAAGATTTGTAAGAGGAAGTGTTAGTTTGATTGAGCAAAGCAGAGCTATATAAGAGTGCTGTGAAACCAGAATTAGAGCAAACCTAAAACAGCAGCAGAAACTCATCCTGTTGTAAAATTCACTGGCCTAATTTTGTGTTTGTGCTCTTTACACAAATACTAGTCTTTAAGTCCTGCTGAAAAAGGCAGTAAAATTAACAGAACAACGTGGCTTTTTTAAAGTTTTATGTTTAGTTTATTTGGTTCACCGCTGACATACGAGCCCCAAAAAAAAGTTTGACGTCAAAAGAAAGCTGAGGCCGAGCTATGAGCATTTTTCAGGATTTACTTTGTTGTAGCTCCGCAGAAGCCATAACTCGCTCCAGACTCCGACCTTTCCAGCTTGGGCTCCTTTTTTTTTTGTCCCTGGATGCAGCTCAGGAAAGGTAGTTAGACACGGAAAGCCAAGAGAAGCCAAAAATAACAGAATGGAAAGCTCCTGGTGTTTAAAGCGCTCCCTTTACAATTTTAATTGCTTTTACACAATCTTGAGGCAACAGTTGGCACACGTTTTTTTTTTTTTTTTAAATCAATGGGGGAGGGGGTAGTGGTGTGGAACTTTTTTATTTCATTGATGTGTAGGGATGTCAGACAAAGAGAAAGACTCATGTGGAGACTGTTTTTATCCATTTTTAACAAAACATCTGTTCAATTTATTTATATGGCCCTCAGACATCTTTCAAACTATGAAGAAATGGAGAGAAAAAAGCAGAAAGTAAAGAGGAACTGAGCCAAGAGAGCAGGAATAATATCAAGTATGAGCTTTTTCTCTTCCAAAAAGAAAGGGAAAAAAGACCACTTCAATGCGTCCAATGCTGGTTATAGGTGTAAATTCAATTTTAAGTTACATAAATTCTTGTCAAATCTGGAAACACAGAACTGATTCAATCTCTGGCTGTCACTTCTAACTTTGGTTGTCAAAGTCTAGCATAGTTTCCCAGCCTCTGAGCAGACAAGCAGGGTCAGTCTGACATTAACCTTCCAAATGACTCACTTTAAACTATAGTTTCCAATCTTGAAAAAGAATGTACTGTGTATATGTATACATATAGATATTCCTATATGAATCCTATTATATTTGTATTCAGATAGTAAATCCTGAATACCTAATTCCCGCTAATGCATCTGACCATGTCTGTTTCTCTTCTTTCAACACTTTTTGTTTTATGAAATCACACAAAATGACACCAGGGGGAGGTATAAACCCAGATATCAGGGACACAAAGAGGTTAACACAACAGTTGCTTTCATGGAAATGTTTTCCGTGGACTCCTCCGTGCTGATGTGCTAACAGAGCGATAACGGTGTTGAAAGCCGCCTTCAGCTGGACTCCCTGAAGACAAACCAACTATAGAATCATGAGGAGTTCAAACAAATGCTGTCTCTGAGCTCTAGGTGCAGTTGAAGTGTAAAACTGTTAAGACACAATTTGCCAGCTTGCATTGTTTATTCAAAGATCAGTTCACATGTCATTTGCAGCTTTCAGCTGTTTTTGAAGTCTGATGCTGTTTTCAGGCATTGACTTTCTCTCAATTAATTTAGCATTAATCCCATTTTTGTTGTAGACTCACTCCTATACACCAACATTATGTCCCAGATAAAGATATCCAGCGGGGAAATCCACGTTAGAAAAATCCAAACTATAACTAGACCTAAAGTTAGACTGAGATTAAGCAGCAAATGAGTGGCGAGCCCCCGGGAACGTCCTCCATCAACGCCATCACAGGTGTGGCAGCTCCAGACCACCCCAGGAATAGAGACCAGGGGAGGTGGAACACTGGAATCATATCTATTCTGCAGGAGCCATTTTAACTTGAAAGCTCACAGTACAATTTGCAGGTCAGTCTGAAACAAAACGGCAGCAAACATCCACACGACCTGGACGGAGCTGGGTGGAGAAACGCACCAGCATCTGTTTCCTCAATCTTTGCCCCCTTTGCCCTGAGTGACCCTCACCCTTACGGGTCACTTTTACCCATTTTCATGCATTCCACTTCCTCAGTGGCGTCATGGTCTCCGTGGTCTTTGTTGTCCCTCCCTCTATTCTTACTTTTGATCTTCTGATTTCCATGTTTTGTGTTCTGCTTCCAGCCCTAATTACACAGCAGGGCTGTGTCTGAGAAGTCTACTAACTCACTCCCTCATCCACTACAGACAGCTGCTCATTTCAAACTCTCCTGAATTCTAATTCATAACAACGTCTGTTCATGTACACACAGCATGAACAAACAGGGCAAACCTGTAGGGCTGAACAAAATGTGGAGTCTGGCACATAACTGAATCAAACTTTATGATACAGAATAAATACATTTTAATCTTTTTTTGTGGTGCTTTGGAAATCATGTGGTAGGGGGTATTGTGACCAAAACAGTAGAGTAACTATTTTGTTTTAAGTGTTTCCTGTTCGATGCTTTGGGGGCTAGTTAGAGTGTGTGGAATTGGTTTTAGAGATGCACCAGCTCCCATCACAGGGATGTCTTTTTCAGAGAAAGCCTTGCAAATTTCACCACAACCACATTATTCATCGTACTGCATCTCTTCCAACGGCATGGCTGTGCAGTGGGAGGCCCTTTGATGCATTATGATTCACAAAATCTGATTTCACCCTGGACACCGGGGACTGGCGAGCAGATAGTTTCTCATATCTGGTCCTGCATCTGGTCCCCACAGCTCCCAGATGTTGTCGGCCTGCTGTTAAAAGGAGAGGGATGCTACAGAAGGATGTTCCACCTTCAACGTATGATGTTTTCCATATTATATTCTGAAAAAAAAGAAAAGACATGCAAATCATTTAACAAAAAAAAAAACATTGTTTCCGATGGGTTGCAAAAAGTGAGCTACATGACAATTAACACCCCACATGTTCACGGACAAACCTCCACGAGTGGGTGGTTTCTGGACATGAATACTGATAATTCATCTGTTCCTGTTGGCTGAGACAGACTCTGGATACCTCGTGTCCAAGATTCACACCAGATGTTTTTCAAAGGGGGAGCAAATCACCGGCCCTCCTCTGACTTTAAACATCATAAGTGGAAGATTCTTCTGGGAAATGTCTTTTTTTGTGACTCCTCCTGGCACGAAAAGAGCAACCAGTGCTCACCAAACAATTAAACAGCTCAAACAAAAGTGATATAGTGGTAAGATGATTTTTAAACACGCTGACTGAGGGAAAATTTCTCGAAGTTCATTCCATGAATAGTCAGTTGACTTTTAGAATACACATCTGACAAAAATGTAGATAAACCTCAGCTGTTGAGGTCCCTGAGCAGCACTTTACTTGGGAGGGGATAAGATTAATGGACTGCCAAGGTCTCTCTACAGTGTTCCTGCATTTTTACCTGATGAATAAGACTAAAACTGCAGTATCTTTATGTCTTGAGACCACATAAAGAGGAATAAAACATGAAACACACAGCATAAGATTCTCTAGGTGCTACTTTACCAATACTGATCTACTAGTGAGAGCCCTCTACAGAGGTCACTAGGTTCTGGGCAACAAATCAAATCCCATTCAAGCCAGAAACGGGACAAATTTATCTTTACTTCTAATTGAATATGCAAAGTCGCAGAAGAAGGGAAAAGATTCCATCAGCAGGTCTTTCAGGTGTCCAATTTTCATACTTTTTCAAATAAGTTTTTAATTCTTATGCTGCTTTGTTCAGAGGTGGAAAAATGTCTCCAACTGAATTTAGTAAGTCATTTTTTTCTTTTTGAAACCAACCAGAATGTGATTTTATGCTGTGTTCTGTGTGGGGCCGTTTTGAAGTCACGATGCTCCCTCACAGCACAGCCTAACAAAAAACACTTCATAAAACTCAATACTGCTGCTCCTCAGGCTGAGCAATCGCTGGGATGAATAAACAGAGGGCAAAAAGACCTTCGCCTGAACAACAGAGGTACAAATTTACACTGAACAGGAAGCACCTGATTACAACACAGACGAGGGTCAGCGTGAGGCTGAAAATGTGTCTAAATCATTTGAGCATGTGGCTGAACAACACAACGAATACACTCTGTGTGTGACGCACTCACAGCTGTTTGCCGCCGGACCTCTGACGGTTTGGGATGGAGGAGAGGCTCCAAGCTGGGGGTTCAGGAAACACGATGCCCATCACAACAGGAATGGCCCTAAGAGTGAATCAGCCATTTTCTACAGTGAGCAATTAAGCATTGTCATTCTAGTGTGGTTCCACACTCCAGTCCTGGCTGGGGGCAGAACAACACATGCATGTGGGACAAAAGTCTCACTGTGGCCTCTCGCCTTTGTATCAGGCTATTGTGGTGCCGATGACTCAGTCTTTGTTCCTCTTCTCGTGAAAGTGGGAATGCCTAGAATGAATTTAGATCCTGCGGCGGAATGGAAAGGCCACGCCCTGCCGGGCCTTTCAGCTGCTAACGGCACCAAACCTACGGGAAGATCTAAACGAAAAATAATAATACTGTGCTCCCAAATTTAACTTAGATGAGGCTAATCATTGACCAACAGCGAGGAGTGGAAAACAAGATGTTCAGATCATAACTGAGTTCTTGTCAGTGGGTGGTAATAACAGAAAGTGACTTATAATGTATTACATATATCCTAAAATATGAAGAAAGGAACCACAAAAAATGCTCTGACCACTTTTGTTTACAGTGTGAAAAAAATAGATGGAGGCAAAAAAAGGTGTATTCTGCAGCATTCCATAGAAAAAACGTTGCCCCTAAGAGGAGAAGTGAATGTGTAAAACACCGTCAATACACTGTCACTCGATGCACACGGGCTGTTTGCTCTCTTGCTGCTTAGGAAGCTGGCCAGAAGTCGCCACATCCCCTTTCCTCTGGCAAAATTAACTCCATGACATGTCATTGTACCGAGACCGGGGGTCATTGTTGTCCTGTTTCCCGGCGATATATTTATGGTTGACACATGTGTCGGGTGTCCTGCTTCAGGTCTGTGTAGCAACAAGCGATCAAAACTCTAAGGTCTGTGTGAGTCATCCGCAATCTGATTTAGGGTCATTTTTGCCGCCGTCTGCTGAGAGCCCGAGAGGGTGTGGCAGTAAGAGAGGAAGAGGAGGCAGGGGATGGTGGTGATAGAAAAGATAAACTGGGAAAGTATGAAAAAGCTGCAGATTTCTTATTTGACTTTCACATCACACAAACATTTTCCACTAGATAATTTGTTTATCTGTGCAAACGTGCCTGGCAGAGACGGCTGAAAGTAAAAATCCAAAGGATGAGACGAACCAGACCAGACACAATCATCAGTTTCTCTGTTTACAATATGGCTTTTATTGGAACACTGGATTACATTTTCCTGCAACACTTACGTGGCTTTCACACTTGAAACGGTGGAATATATATATATATAAAAAAGGTATAAACTCTAACACTGTCAACATTTACAGAGAGAAAAAGCATCTTTTCTGTGTGGGTGGGGGCGGGGAGGGGTGGTTACTTTTATAACAATAGATCCAATCATCAGTCTCCGAATGAACGAGTGAACTTTGATTTTATTCTTTCATCTTTAGATTTCTGACATTGATTGTAGCTTGCAGATACAGATATATCATAGCAGCAGCAGAAGATTAACATTTCTGAAATACCAAACATGAAAGTCCTTCCAGCCCTGAACAATAAATTTGACGACCTTAGGGGTATATAGATAAGACTGATGGTGATTAGGCAATATTCTCTGTGGAAAACAAAACCATCAAAAGGTGAAATCTTTATTAAATGAAGAAACCTGGCGCCCAGTCTAAGATGTACCACGCCTCTCACCCGTCATTATGGGATAGGCTCCAGCCCCCCCGCGACCCCACTGGGAGTAAGCGGTATAGAAAATGGATGGATGGTGAAACGTAAAAAAATTTGATCCCCACTTAGATATAACTGCATACATCTTATACATATCACTTTGTCCATGTTTAAAGAGCAAAAATATTCATCGTCAGGCTTACTCATTGACATGCAACAAACAAAACCACTATTAGCTTTTTTTCCTTCATTTTCTGTCACAAACAATGTTTACATGCACATTTTTAGTACTTTCAGTGGCCAGAATCCATCAGAGGAACACAACGCTTCAGAGGACACGAGAGGCTAAAGTTTGTTCTTTCTGGCGTTTTTATATTTGGAAAAATTGTTGATTTTGTACATTTTCTTTTGGTTTCTGAGATGTTGTCCTGATTTTTTTTTGGTTACCTGTGCGTGCTTTCGCTGATTGGCTTCATTCAAATCTTCAATCTTAACTGATAGTTAGCTGCGTTGTCTGGCTTTGCAGACTGCAACAAATCAATCACCATTTCTACATCTGCCTTTGTCATCTCGCTAAAAGGATTTCACTCTGGCCTCCAAGAATACAGATACACAGGCCACTGGCAGCAAAGCACACGAACAGTAAGCCTCAGTAATGGAAGGAAATGTCATTGTACATGTAAACAAACCATTGATTTAAGCTTCACCCACTTTTTTTTTGTTCTCTAAGATTATCTGCTGTATGCTTCACATAAAATTGAATTTGGCGGCTCTACGGGGCAAAAACAAAAAAGATTTAAAAAAAGAAGCCAAAAGGAGCACAGGTGTTGGGTTTTGACCAGCTACATGTGTCAGTTTCCTACCTTGAAAAGCATCATTCATGGTGCATGTGCGCTTCTCCTCTGATACATTCCGAGCCAACCTTTACACAGCTACTTTAGGCTTCATCCCCTCCTGTTATATTCAGAACCAGCGCAGGTGCTGAGGACAATAGGGTGTCCTTGCAGCAGTGTATTTGACAGCAGTTTTACAGCCTTTACTTAAGTGGCCAAATTCAATCTTATTTGGAGCACACTAGCTAGCCCGGCGCCCTTCCTGAGCCCTCAAGCGCTGACGAAGACGAGGCGGGTGGAGTAGATGAGGTCGGCCAGGTAGAGGATGAAGTTGACGGCGGTGAGCACGGCCACGGCCATCAGCTTATCCCACACGCACAAACCCATCTGGCTGCTGCAGCTGTACGGCCGGTTCTTCGTCCCGCCGTGATTGGGGTGAAAGTTGAAGATGGGCCAGACGATGGTCGCCGACAGATAGAGGACCACGGCCAGCAGGGCGTAGGCCGACAGGAAACGGGCGAACGGGAAGGGCAGGCAGCCCGTGCACTCGCCGATGCAGAGCAGGATGATGGCCGCCGACAGGATGAAGCAGATGCAGTAGACCGACATGCAGTACTTGAGCGCGTCGTGGCGGTCGTACAGCACCGGGTCGCTGATGAACACGAAGATGATGCAGGCCACGAAGGTCTCGCAGACCTTCAGCAGGCCGGGGGCCGTGGCCATGTAGCCGGCCACCTCGCCCGGACGCGCCTTGCTGATGCTCACCTCGGTCATGTAGGCGATGGTGGCCAGGCAGGAGAAGACCGTCGCCACGATGCGGAAGTCCCGGACCTCGCTCTGGCCGGCGGAGCCCTTGAGGAAGTAGAGGGGGAAGATGATGGAGGCGGACAGGCAGAGGAGGGCGGCGTAGCAGGCAAAGGTGATGGGGAAGTTCTTCCAGGAAACGGGGGCCCGGGTCTGCAGGCCGAACAGCTCCACCAGGATGACCAGCAGGGTGCCGGCGAAGCTGAAGGCCCAGCAGAAGATGCACCAGTCCCCGGTGCCGTGGTAGAGTCTGGCGCCGTGCACGGCCACAGAGAAGGCCACGCAGGAGAAGGCCAGGGCGGCCAGCCGTGTCCACAGCAGAGGGCTGGACTGGAGGACTATCGCCATGATGGGATTTCTTATGTATGAAGAAACAGGCTGATGACTTTCCTTCCTTTTGGTGGTCTTAGTCTTTTACCAATCAGCCGCTCAGGTAGTGAAAACTGTTAAGAAACAAGACAATTAAAGAAGAATTAGTGTTTTTGAGAGATTTGCATATTTTGTTCTACTTTTCCATGAAATAAAGCCTCCAGAAACATGAGACCAACAGCCTGCAACTACCTAAACAGACTGTGTCCTCCTACATAGGATTTACTCAGGGGCACAATGTTGTGATTGTATTCCATGAATGGCAGACAAAACAACTCAGATCATGAAAATACAATTTGAAACCACAAATAATGACCGCACTGTGGTCATGCTGGTCATCGCACATTTGAATCTGCTCCCGTCAGCTGGAGAACGCGCTCCTTTGTGTTTTTCTGCCTCGTACCACACTGCAGATCTAACAGCATTCCTGCACTCGCTCTGACATTCCTCAATGGTCAAGTCCTCCTGATAGGAGTGGCGCCGCATCCTCCACTAAATCCACACTGTATCTGTCAACATGCTCTAAACATGGCTCTCTTCATTCGTTCCACTCCCACTCCCAAAAGCTCAGTGGAGCTTGAGTTCTGAACTTCTGCACCTTCATTAGCAGAAAGATTTCATCACAATTTGAACTTGAGAGCCACTCTGGGTATGGGAATTCTTCAAAATGCCTTTGGATGTTTTATTCTAGTGTTTGGGTTTGATCTATGCACTTTAAGTCAGTTTTTTTCAGAGGTTTGACAGATAACAGTATGGTTGTGTTTAAATCAGGTTGCTTTACTTAGTTCTTTAACTTTCTCGTGAAGTTCTTTTAATGATAAAAGTTTGAGAAGTAAAAAAAGGATCTAAATTTAATATACTACATTTTCTATGTTTTTTCTGTTGATAGTGAGTCCCTTAAACTGTATTACTTCCAATAAAGTTGAACAAGTTGGCCTTAATTTTTATCTAAATTCAATATGGCAACTGAACCACCAGATGTGCTTAAACTAAAGGTTCACACACATCCTCCCGTTCTCACAGCTGCTGTTGCCACTGTTTGCACTAAACAAATGGAAAGCAAAGAGTCTTCCCTTCTCTGCCAGCTCTAAAATGACTTCGCTACCAGCAAAGCAAGACAAACGTTCTGTTTATGGCAAGAGCAAATGCAATGCTCTTCCACTTAAGGGTTTAGGAGGTATTACCCACAACCAGAGCATTACCGGCAGCACACCCATTTTGAAAAATCAGCCTACAGAATGGCAAAAAACCTAATGCATCACTCTGGACTGGAGAGGCAGCAAAGTATGATTTTTTAAAAGTGTTTCTCTGCTGGTCAAACTTTCCAGAAAGGAGTTCAGCTGCTGTATTTCTGACATCATTGTTGGCGAATGTTGTGACAAAAACAAGCTACCAAATGATCAAGCCCAAAGAAAGCATATGCCCAAAGCCATGAGTCCTTACTGAACACTATCTGAGACATGCCCTTATCCAGTAATATACGATCACATTTTCCAAAAGCAAATGAGGAATGAATCAGAGAGCATGTCCCTCACCATCCACTCTGTCAAGCCAAAGTAAAATTTCAGATTTTACATGCATGCTTAAGTAAAAGTCTGCCTACAAATACAGTGTTCAATAAACCCATTGGATCAACCCATTTCTGACTTAAACACTTAAACACAAAATATTAAGCTAACAGGAACCAGATCCTCTTAAAACAACAGGCAAAGTTTGTTTTAAGTACTTTATACTTTCTATTCTGATAGGTTGGATGTTCTTACAGCTGACATGACCACAAGTACAAGCGTCAAGATAATGATAAAACACCATGTAATGAAGAGTCCTACAAAGGTCAGTAACCTTGCTTAGTAATGCAAAAACATGGCACCGTGGTAATAGTAGCTTAGCTAAAACTGTAAGACTCCATTTGTTTACTTGTTTATGTTTGTATTACATTACACTTATAACAAGGCTTAAACAATTGGGCAGGACAACTTTGCACTAACCACTTTAGTTTATGCAAACTACCCAGATCCCATCCCAGGTTTGGTCATGAGCCATTAGCACAGTAAAACTGATGCCATTCCTTTTGATTGAAGTTGTAAAGAACTGATGCATAGTACTTTCCTAAACAGTCACTTCCTTGCCGCTTCTATTCTATGTTAATTTTTCTTGACCTTTTGAAATAAGATCTTTAAAAAGCCTGAACATAGCCACCGAACAGACATAACGGGCGTTTGTTAAACACGAAGACACTCTGACCACACTAGCAGCTCTCCCTCCCATCCCGCCAGACACCCGTCGCCCACTTGGCTCCCACAGCTCTGAGCTCCGAGTTCCCAGTTTACACAGAGAGATGGATATAAACAAGGACAAATGGCTGGTTTACATTAGCCGCATTAAACACCTATGGAGCAGTCAAAGCTGGGGAGTTGAAAAGCTGAACTGTTGGCACGGCATAGTCGCAAATAGGGGAAAAAAATTAGACCAAAGTGGAAAAGTAGACCTGCAAAATGTCATGCAGGATGGCTGAGGAGGTAGGGGAGGGAGTAAAAGTGGAGAACATGGGGGAAGCCCTGTGCCTCGGCCACAAAAGGACACATAGCTTAAACAAAGTGACGGAGTGGAATAGCAATAGAGTGAGTCAGCACTGAGCTCCTCTGTTTCTCCACTTTTCCTCTCTCCCCACCTCCTCCCCAATTTCTTGTAAGATTTTCCAGCTTGCTGATGCTTTCCAGATGTGCAGCAGTCTGGTGGCTGCTGAACAACTGGTAACTTTGTCATATTTGCCAAGTTTTTCCTTCCCCGTTGTTTCCTCTTCGTTTCTCCCTTCCCTTTTGTGGCTGTTGCACTTCTCTTTTCCATCTGCTGTCCTCTTTTCCCCTCTCTGTTCAATACTCCCTCCAAAGCTTTATAGTCAAGCTACCAATTATACCTCATGTAAACTGCTTGCAATAAACATATATGGAGGGTCACGATGGAAAAAAAATCCAAGCTTCTGGAGCTGCCATGATTGCTTTGCTGCTTATGGCATCAGGTCAGGAAAGGAAATAGGAGATGAAAGTGGTACAAGAGAGAAAAATAAAAGTGTGGAAAAAAGTTTCTTTTCACAGCTCAGCATGGAAAACACGACCCAGGACTTCCCCAAATGGAAAATGTAGCGAGTGTAGATTCAAACATTAGCACAGCATGTGATAACTCTATGCTTCTCTATACGTGCCCCGTTTCAGACGTACACACGCACACACACACACACACACGCACACACACACCCAGACATTAACAAAGTTGAGACGTTCAGGAAACAACTGTTTGTCTCCAGCAGAAAGGTCACGCGCTTTGTTTGCTGCGTTGTCAGGACAGAACATCACTTAGTCAATTTCACCCCTAATCCACTTACAGCAGATCCGTGGGTCCAAACACAAGACGAGCTCTGTTGGCAAACCACCCCGGTGTGTATGAGCCAGAGCTGATGCCAGTTAAGATGATATTCAAGCAGTGGCCTTTCAATCTTTCTCTGAGTTATTTTCAAACAGTAAAGATGTCATACATTAATTTTTTTTCCGAAAAAGAACTAAATGAAAAAGCATTCATCCCTTCAAATTCTGTGATTTTTAAAAAATCAGACGGACTAAACCATTTAACAAACAGAAAGGCTTGGACACAGTCTCTCACTTAAAAGAAAAAAACTTTGGGACATCAAAGTAACACATAAAACAGTCAGATCAATTCTGTCATGTTCTGAAAAAGCCAAAAGGGAAATGGTGAGTACATTCCCCCTCGGTTTGGAGGGCATGTGAAAGTGCGAAAGCTGTTTTGACTCGTGCAGAGGTTCATTCATTGACAGTGAGGGTGGGTGTGCCACCTACCACACCCTGCTCCAACCACACTCTACACAGCAGCCTTTTAATCACAAACTAACCCAAAAAAGCAGATATCTAGGAGAAACAGCAGTTTCCTTCATTCTAAACTCCAGAAATGAAGCACACACAAGTCCAAAAAAGAGTCAAACTTTCCCTTCCAACACATCCAGGGATTGCTGAAGCCTGGAACCAGCTGAATATGTAAAGTCTTCCTTCCACACGAATAAAGATTTTCCACATTTCACACTGCTCTATGACTTCCTCAGTCGAGTTTTCTCTACAGGTAAAAAGCATGCAACAAGTCTCCACCTCTAATAAACTTAAAAACACTTGATGACCAGAGTTTAAACCAGATGTTGCCTACCTTGCTGTTTGCTGTTCAGCAGAGCATCCAGCCTTAAAGAATCGCGGATTGCAGCTCCTCGGCCCCCTGACTGGATTTACAACCACCCAGAAATAACGGCTCCCCGCCCAGAAACCCATATTAGGCATTAACGTGCTGCACCGTTACTCACATCTCACTGAGCTCCACCTCCTCCATCCTGCTCTCGGTCGAAGCCACTTCTGCCCACACCCATGGTGGACAAGTATGTCCCCCGTGGACAGAGATATATATATTTTTATTTTTTATTTTTTTTGCATCGTAACAGCACATTACAGTCATGTTGTTGCATTAAACTGCAAATCATCACATCGTTTCATTTGTTTAATTAAAATTAAACATAAATTATCGACAGACTGTACACTCAGATTATTTGTATATACGTTGCCGGGCAACGGCAGCAGTAGCCCATGGCAACCACACGTATTTACTTAGAGTTTCAAAAATGACACACTTCCTGGCCTAGAGGGAAAGAAATCAAACTTCAAGTGCACACACTTAGCGTTATCTTCTTCAAATATAAATATTCGTATTTTCTCATGGTAAGTCAGAAGAAAACAGCTATTATATAACAGCAGGAGAGGAGGCTGTATTGCAGATGTCCTATAATTTGAAACATGAAGTAGTCTGTTGTTGTGCATCATGCTGTAATTATGTCGTGCGTTTAATAGGTCCTGCAACAGTTGAACAATTCAGTTAATGTCAACACTTTTTTTTACTCCCAAGCTTCAACTAACCAAGGTCAGATAACAAATAGATGAGAACAGAAAAATATATTTAAAAATGGAAGGTTTGGCATAAATCCTTAGTTCATTAATACTTTCTAAATCCAAGTGGGAACATGTTGACTTATGTTTAGATTTTACATTAGATTTTTACTTTATCTGTGACGTTCATGTAAATTACAAACTGTTTTGTTTATTTTAAGAATGGTGCTGCGACACTGAGCTCATGTATTATCTATGGTTATATTCTTTATACTTCTGGAAGGCTTTTAATGCCCTGCAGCGCTGCACCACTACAGCATTTTTAGTTGTTTCTGTATGTTTTGTATGTCTTTTTGTATTGTTTTATGGCTTTGTTGTAAAGCACTTTGAGTACCATTTGGGTATTGTAAAGGGCTATACAAATAAAATTGATTGATTGATTGATTGATTGATTGATTGATTGATTGATTGATT